TGTACATGTAGTCGTCGCTCTGTCCAATGATTCAAAGCTATGCCATACCTACAATTCTTGATCTGGTCTAACCTGAGCACTGTACGTGGAAGGCAAGGGCGCACTACGACAACACGATGTATAGTACTCCCATTTCACAGCCTAATACGGTATGCATCGTGATGAACTGGTTGTTGTACGGCGTAAGTTGGCCTGGTGCTGCAACTCGATTAGTTAGCAGCTGAAATAAAGTAAGGGTTGTTTTATTCTGCTGAAATGCAGAACTTATGTTTAGCGTTGTTTTATCTTCAATCGGGCTTATATTATTTTAAACGTCTGGTTGTTTAACGCAGTTAAACAACGGGCAAACTACATGAAAAGCACAATACTTGAAGTAGTATTATTAATAATAGTTACTAGACTTACTATTATTCGTAATAACTACTATTAATACTCCTGAGTACTTCGTACTATTTAATAGTACGGTTGACTTCCACAATGGCTTGAAACATGAAGTGTTTGTTCTAAGTCAGTTCAAATAATACATATGGGTTCGCTTACATGTATGACCTACTACTGTAGTACAGTACAGTACAGCATACTCCAAGTAGCGCTATACCAGGTGATGCAACCTTTTGGATTCCTATAGCGGCAACAGGAGTAAGCTCGACTGGCGCTAAACTTTCCACATTTCTGGTGCGTCTACACTGATGACATATTGATATTTCTCATAAACTTGCAAAGAGTCGTCTTACAAAGCATGAACGAATGCATTTGCAGCTGAAGTCGTCTTATAGTTACGATGGCTGGATAGCCTGGCGGATGAAGCACTCCATGAAAACGACTTGGCGCGTTGCACGTCGCAAGTCATTATTTTTATCAATAACGTAACGACGATAATGCTTGAACGGGCCAATCAAAGCTGAGATTGTTGTCACCAATCAAACGCAACAAACACCCAATATTCCAAAAGTACGGCCAATTAGAAATCGTATGTGACAACAACACCGAATATTTAGAACTTCGAAGTAATCCATAACTTAGGATATATATCTGAAAAACAAGCTTTTTACGAACGACAGACAAATCTTAGAGTACCATATATTATACGTATGGGTGCAATTCCTGACAACTTGGTTCCATGCCACGATCTATAATTGGTAGAAACTATTACGTTGAAATTTTCAACCAATCACCTGCAACGTTTTTTGAGTTTGAGAGGTACTTGAAGTACAGTGGAACTGTTTCCAGCCTAAGGATGGATATTTTCACTCTTTTATTTCATTTTCCATCAACACCAATACGAATGTTCGACATGATTTTAAGCCCAACGAACTGCATAAAATTTACTCTTTAAGAAACGCTATTATAATAGCAATTTGGAATAAAGGAACCCTTCCATCGAAGGGTCCCAAAAAGTGTCACTAAACCCTGCACGTAAAGTACGTGTAATTGTTGTTGATTTGCAAATATCATAGTGAGTGGCAGACCACTCTCTTCAACTGAGAGCGGTTGTAACACGGCGAAACGACTGTTTCTAGCGGCTGCGATCTAAACACTGCTGTCTCCGATTGGGATTACAACCAACAGACAGTGACAAGTTTTTACAGTCCTCGACCTACTGTGTTTATTTGCATTTTGAGTACCGGCGCATGCGTGTCAACGTAGTGGCAATGTTCGCAGCAGTGGCCGTTGCGTTGGCAGCGAATGACACCACGATCATCACCGTCGAGCCATCCAACACCACAACAACGTTGGCACCTCCGTCATCCACTTCTACCACCTCCGACCCAACCACAACCACAACATTGTCGCCTCCGTCACCCACTACTACCACCGCCGACACCTCTGACCCAACCACCACGACAACGTTATCACCTCCGTCATCCACTACTATCACCGCCGACACCTCCGACCTACCAGCACCTCCAAACCCAACCTCAGTCGTCCCTACGACGACCACCAGTCCTACCACGAGTCCTACAACGACAAACACAACACCGCCGCTCCTGTCAATCCCCACGGAGGCCAGTAAGATTGTGACCGACGAACCTACATCCAGCATGCCAACGACTTCTACCACAACAAGGAAACCAAGTTCACTTGCCCTTGGTACCGCAACACAGCTCATTTACGAGGCACAAGTCACACCGAGGCCATCGGCATCGACAACTGCCAGCAAAGCTACATTGGTCACGACTGTCGCTCCACAGCCTGCAGTCACGCGTAGGTCACACGTTTATTGCAAGACGCATTCAACACCATTATTCATTCCTCGCTTTCTTTACCATAGCTGCCGAATCGAAAACACCATCGATGTTGAAGTCAAATACCACGCTGGGTCTTCTTGGTGGCGGGCTGCTGCTGTTCGTAGCCGTCGTGATCTTCATATTCGTGTCTGTCCGAAGGAAACTCCGCGTGCTTTCTGTCCAAGCGGACGCCGAATATGCAAATGTCCCATCTCCACTTCCGCCCCCACGACACTCCTCTGTGACTGTCTCCAGTGCTTATGGCATTGCCAGGGCAGCATCCCATGACCATATTGGCAGTTGGCGGGGCAGCAGCTTCTCCCAGGTGTACGAGAACCCCTCGTCGATCGACACCCGATCGCCGTCCATGCGTTCCGTACATGCTTATTTGGGAAGCGGCGCGGTACGGTACTCGGGTGAGTACGGAGGGCTCGCTACCCCCCACGCGGTGCGTCAAGGAGGATCCCGGTCCTTTCAGTTCTTCGATCCCCACACGTTGGCCATACACGGGCGTGCGACGTCGTTCAGTGATCACGCTCCCATGTCGTCAGGCCGGCGGTTGTCAGGAGACCTTGGCATGCCTTCGAGGCGGTCAAACGACTGGCGCGACTTCGTCGACGCTACGTATACCTCGTCCATCCCCCGGACAACGTCGGCGCCCATGGCCTTGTCGTCCATGCCAGGCGCTGCAACACCGCATACCCCCATCGGGACCTGGAGTCGAACGGACAGCGGGGGTGCCGACGATGACGACGGCAGCTTTTACGATTTTTAAGCACGTGCAATTATAATCCAACAACTTTTTGAAGTGGACGACATCATCGAGAGGGCTTTTCCATCCACGAGCTTCAATGTTGCGGATCACTTTTGTACCATTGACACGATCGAAATAGCTGAAAAAATGTGCTGAGCTCTCAAAAGTAGTCAAAATATACATTGTTTCAAGTATTTTGACGTGTTTTGAGAAATATTTCGAGATAATATGAATTGAACCCTTGATTATTCCATGGACGGAGCGTTGAAGTTTACGGACCTCCCGTTGACCGCGTCGGTGCAGGCGAGTCTGCAAGCATGTGGCTTCTACGTCCCATCGCCCATTCAGGCGAAAGCGCTACCGGTCGCTCTATTTGGCAACGACCTGATTGCCCAAGCTAAATCTGGGATGGGCAAGACGTTGGTGTTCGCTTGCGTGACGTTGGAGCTCGTGCTGGCCAATCCGACCAGTTGGGCATTGATCCTGGCGCCGACGCGCGAAATCGCGTTGCAAATCCAACACGTGCTTCACACATTGATCGCAGCCATCCCATCACTGTCCTCGTCGGCTGTGGTTGCGTGCATCGGTGGACTGGATATTCAGGACGACGAACGACGCCTGCAGCAGCGCACGACGCGCGTCGTCGTCGGCACGCCTGGCCGCGTCAAGGCGCTCGTGCAGCGCAAAGCCATCCCCATGACGTACATGCACTTGTTTGTGTTGGACGAAGTGGACAAGCTGATGGAATCGGATTTCCAGAGCGACCTCGACGCCATTGTAACCAAGCTCCCTGCCACAAAACAGGTACATCGATGTCGTCGGCTCGAGCTCGTGACGTGGCTGGCGGCTGTAGATTGTCGCGTGCTCTGCTACCTTTACCCCCGATCAATTGGCGCGACTGGGGACGATCATGCTCACCCCACAGGTACACCCACACGACGACATTTTTGATTGCCTCGTATGTCCACGCTTTTTTCGCTTTCGATCAGGATGTTAAAGTTCACATTCGATATTGTCGTTTCTATTATCCAAAGTTCACGTTTTGGGTTGGACGATCAAATAGAAAGCAAGTATTAATATATTCTCTTAAATACACTCATTTATGTACTAACAAGTACTATTCCACTTGTGGTTGCAGTTTATATGGCTTACATTGCAATGATGGTATGTCCAGTAGCGATAGCTTACTCATACATTACTCAAGTGTCATTTGTACTGTCAAACGTTGTCTCGTGCAATAAGGCTAATAGTTGCATGCAGTTTGTTCGAGTGCAAGGCCCTCAATCGGTCACGACCGAGTACATTCAGGACACCAACGTAGCCGCGTGGAAGGCCCGAGATGAAAGCCAACGACCTGAACTGTGGCTAAGAGGGGTGCGGCAGTACTACCTAGTAGTCGACACACCCACGAACCCAGATGACCTCCTCCGCACCAAAGTGCAGCGCCTGGCACACGTGCTCACCGAGGTGCCGTTCCACCAGTGCATTGTCTTTTGCAATGATAAATACAGGTACGAGCCGGGCGTTCTATCGTGATTGCCCTTGCATGAAATATCTATGAGATATATAGATTATTGAGTTGGTATTAACAGTCTGTAAATATTTCAATCATTATTCACAAATCGCTCCCATTGGTCAATCCGAAAATGCTTGTCGCTGATTGGCTATATTATTTTTTACTCTTTATTTTTACTTCGTGCTTTCTGTGGAATTGGGAAAGCCAATGAAACTTCGCGGCGAGAGTTCGGATCGGGTTTACAAATCGCGCAGCAGAATTGGGAAATTTGTAGCAAATTTATAAGACTACAGGTATATTACTAAAGTTTTCGGCCTATGAATAAATGGACTACTGGCTACTCGTTTTGGTATTCCCTCGTTTAGATAGAATTCAATGAATGAGCAAACTTGCTGTATGGGTTTTGTATTTTCAATGGTCAAGAAGATACTATTTAACAGTAACGTCGTAGAGCCGAAGCACTGGCCGATGCGCTGACCAGTTTGGCGTATCCAGCGGTATGCATCACCGGCGCCCAAGCACAAAGCCAGCGCACGGAATCCATGGACAGCTTCCGTCAATTCCAAGCGCGCATCCTTGTGTCCACAGACTTGACGGCGCGCGGTATCGACGTCGATCGAGTCAACTTTGTGGTACGACGAGGCTTGTACAGTCAAATTTGGACTCGACAAACACATGGTTGGTGCGTAGGTGAATCTGGACCTGCCACGAGATCCTGCCACGTATTTGCATCGCGTGGGGCGGTCGGGGCGGTTTGGGGGCCAGGGGGTCGCCATTACCCTCTTGGGCATTCCCGAAGTCAAAGCCATCAAGGCCATGGCGAACGTGTTCAAAATGACAGTGGCCGAGTGGACAGGACAAGCCCCCCCCCGTGACGAACAGTCGCGAGAAGATGACGTTACAGCGTATGCTCGCTCGGACCTCCCCACTCGGATCTTTCAGAGGCGACAGCAAAACGACAAGGATGGTGAACAATTGGACGCCACAGCGGCTGCCACTTTAACGCCAGATACGACTACCCTGCCAAAGTTCTCGTCGCTCCAAGTGGACACTCCCGCCAACTTGCAACACGAAAGCCCCCGATTGGTTGTTGCTCCGTCACCCCAAGCCACGACCGACGCAACGCCACTGAACTCATCGCCGACGTTTCCCCCAGAGATTAATGTCGGTAGCCCTTGTGCGGCGGCGGCTACGTCTGTGGCCAGAAAGCGCCCAAGCAAAAGCAAACGACCTCCCACGTCGCCGCCACCAACCATTGTCACAAACGTCGACCTTCGAAACCAACCAACCTCGTCACACATCCAACGTGATGTCTCGTCGCCACAACCCAAGCCACCAACCAAGCAAAACCACTTCAACAACGCCACGTACTTGAAAGAAGAAGCCATGTACGACCAGTGGCTAGCCCTCGTCCATAAGTCTAGTCAATGCTAAGCGTTGAGCCGGAGGACTCGGAAGCCTCACTCTTTCCACTACTATATTAACGAGCTATGACATAACGTTACTGGTGGTGAATCAACAATATGAGAAACCAACTGATTCGTCCAGCAATCATGCATGCGCTAGCCACACTCTGCTGTTGGTCACACTAAGGACATTTGACAAGTGTTGGATTCACACCAATCTTAACTTCTCGTTCAAGAACGCTGGCGACAAAACTCCCTAGTTCAGTCGCACTATATTCAGGAGCTAAGCCGTCGAGATACCTAGCAGTAATGTGTGTAGTACTCCGTAGTACAGTTACTGTAGGCCATGGCTTGCAGTATACACGTTGGACTGACAGCGTAAAAACCTTCGATCATTGTGGTTGTCATTTCCAATTCATCTACTCAAGTTTGATAGACTTGCATATAATGCTGTGGACATGAAGGGTGAAAGGTCGACCAACGACAGACTACGTACTAGTGTAGTTCAAAGTGACGTTGTGACAGTACTGTACTCACTACTACACGAGATCAAGTAATGGAATTCTTGCTGTTCAACCAAGTTCACGCTGCCGCCTTTGTAGTACATGTATATACAAAACTAGGCGTCGCGGTGCAGCCACATACGGATCTGTTGGATTTCCGTGCGACGCGCTTGCGTGACGGACGCGGGGTCGCGCGGGTCGCTGAACATCAGGTCCAAGTGGTGCGCTCCTTCGGGGATGTCCACGAGCGTGATCTTGGGGTTCGAAGTCGCGAGCACGCCCCCCGCGCGCCACGGATCCAAGCCCCCGTTTGAAAACACAATGTTGGACGTCGACGCCAGGAGGACGTCGGCGGGGCCGTACGCCGTGCGGATCCAGTCGGGATCGGGGGTCACGCCCCACTTGGCGCGGCAGTCGGCGGCGATCGTGTCGAACGTGATGTTGCGCGGCCAAAACATGTCTGTGACGCCGTTCGAGTCAAAGTAGCTCTCTTGCGCTAACAGTTGCGAGCACCACATGTAGTCCCAGATGCCATCGTATTCCTGGTGGACCACAGTGCACGCAACGTCGCGGGTTGCGTTGGTGAAGATGTCGGTGGCGTCTTTCATGGCCACAAGTAGCGCAGTTGATTCATTTGGCAATGAAAAGGGCGGCGCCAGGTGCTCGCAGGCGGCGCGGACGGGGAACGAAGGCAGAGTCGCCTTGCCCTCGGTGAGGTAGCTCGACGGAAACGGAAAGTTACCCATCGCCATGGTATCCCACGCCATCATAAGAGTCAGCGCCAACGCCTCGACGTCATCGCGAGTGTGTAGTGGCGTGCACGTTTGAAACAAGGCCGACAGGTCCGCCAACCCTAGACACAACCACCACGCATGTTTGCGATAACGTCATTGACAGGATAACGTCATATGACGAGATGATATAGTACACGATTTTGATTGGGTTTTGGTTTACCTCGGGAAGAGTTGGCTTTGGCAAACATGAGTGGCCACGTAGCCCGGACGTTTGGAATGCAATTGGGGGCGGCGCCAGCTTCTGGCGACGCGTCGTGGGTGACCACTTGCCAGTAGTCGGCGCCTTGGAACTGCTCGGCGTACCCGATCGAGTTTGCGAAAATGGGCGCGGATGCCTAGCCATCGTGATGTTGGACGTCTTGTATCAAGTTTGCAATGGATCATGAACGACAAGATCTAGTACCGCAATGGCGCCACGAATGGTCGCAGGGTACTTGATACGAAACCACGCGGCCAACATGCCGCCGTAACTCCCCCCAAATGCAATCACGGGTACGTCGACGCGGTGCTGCTGCTGCAATGACCGGAGGACAAGCGCATAGTCGGCCAACGCCTGGTCGTGGGTCAAGTATTGCAGGTGATCTTTGTACTGGTCGCCGAATGGAATGCTGTGCCCTAGTACGCCAGGATTGAGCGCATGGTACGATACATCAAGTTAGGTCAAGAGATCGACAAGGGTACCAAAGTAGCGATGCTCGGCAAACACGAGCAACGCCCCCAATGCTTGCGCGTTCTCCCACATGAGGCCCGTGCTGTTGACATAGAGAGTGACGTCGGCTTCGTTGCCACAGTAAAAGAAAATCGGGCCATCCTCCTTGTGTCCATCGGCTTGGCGCTTCCAGAACTTGTCGTAGACGAAATAGCGCTATGTACAATGAATGGATGACGCAAGTTTGAGTCGTGGGATTGCCTTGGATTCGTGGTTGGTGACGTACTTGCTTGTACGTGGCATTGAGGGTCGTAAAGTGATCCAGGCGTTGGTCAAACCAGTGAAGCGAGCAGTTACCCGTGTTGGGACGAGGGTCCATGAAATTGGGGGTGTACGTAGCGGCAGTGGGTGGCCCCAATGCCTCGCTAAGGAGGAATTGGCCCGCCACGACGATGACGATCCCGACGCCAATTGCAATAACGATGGCCGCTAGTACGCATGTCAGGAACGAACGGTCAATGGTCGCCCTTAAAACCATATGGGGACTGTGTACATGCAGAGTAGGGTCGCGCTCGAGGGCCGCGCGACATGCCAAGCAGAGGTTGCGATGATCCAGCCATGATGTCTCAAAATCTCAGTCAGATTTTTGTCCGGATGGTGCCAAGTTGCAGTTGATGCCTTTTTTGCCCGATAATGAGGCAAAGTCGTAGTATAATTTAAGCGAATAATTTGAAATTGCTCATGTAACCGACACGCAAACGGTTTCATAACATGGTACGGAAGCCGTCCAAGGAGCCGGTGTCGTCGTCGTCGATGCCGCCTGGCGACTTGCAACCGATAAATACCATTTTGTTTGACCCTCAAAAGGGCGAAGTGGATGTCGCGTCTGGCCATCGTCGATGGGTTCACGACGCCATTGAGAAGCGGCTAAAGAAAGCAATGGTCACGGGATGCATTGACCTGAGCGGCCCGGCGCGATCGAGTCTACAGGATGGCAATCGCACGTTTCAATTGCACTTGCTTCCAAGCGAGCTGTATGCGTCCGTGTCACGCTTGACGTGGGCCAAGCAGCACCTAAAAAAACTGTTTCTCACCAACAATTGCCTGGCACTGCTGTCGCCTGAAATCATGCACTTTCGCCACCTTACAGTGCTTGGCGTGGGCGGGAACGCCCTTGCCTCGTTGCCTACAGACCTTGGTTCTCTTGTGAACTTGGAGCAGCTCCATGCCGAGAAGAATCAGCTGTCCACACTGCCCGACTCGCTCCACCAATGCACCAAACTCACCCACTTGTCCCTGAGTGCCAACGCTTTCTCGACATTTCCCGTAGCCGTGACGAAGTGTCCATCCTTGATGCACCTAAGTCTGAGCCACAATCGCATCACGTCCGTGCCCGTTCAAATCCGGCATCTCACGAAACTCGTTGAGTTGGACCTAGACCACAATCGCATTGGGCCATCGCTCCCGACCGAAGTCGGGTACCTCTGCCGACTCGAGCGCCTCGGCCTGGCTGGAAACTGCCTCGACAGCATGCCCGCATGTTTAAGCCATCTGAAGCTCTCGTGTTTTCGCTTTAGCGGCAACCGAGCTCCGGGGTACATCGTGCATGACCCCCTCACGGGAGACGTTGTCGAAGGTCAAAGCACACCGGTACGTGAGTCACTGACTGCTTGTCCATTCACCATACATGCAATCCCATCGACCTCAGCGCCTCCGACGTGTATGTAGGTGCGGTTTGACGGATATATGCAACTTCGCCATGCGTTCACCGTACTCTGTGATGCCACCCAAGCCGTGTCGCGCCAGGTTGAGGACCTCGAAGGGCTCACGCCAACGGTGCTATTGAATTTGGAGAATGCTTCCCACGACAGAGACAAAGACAACGTATGATACACCATGATTCCTGTATTATTATCATGTGCGAGATTATAATCAGGGGGGATCATGGGTAGATTGGCCGGCAGATCCTCCGTGGCCGTCAGCAACAGCAGTACTACGTCACGTGAGCACATAGGGTTCTACACACACACCAACATGACCACCCATGATTATGTCAACGTAATGGATACGATAATACATGTCCAACACCACCTCAACAACTACAGATTGCCACACGGGAGATCAAGAAGTACATATGTAGTCGCTTCGTACTGGAGAGCACGGCCAATGCTTTGGTGACGAATGTCGACTCGGTGACCGTGACCGGTATCTCCTTGGCTTGAAACGCTTGCACGAGCTCTGAATGATGCCTGGGAAACACTTCGCGAGCGCGTTTGCTGGCCAACAGCGTTTCCACTACGACGTCCTTTGCCACGTCAGCACCCCCCTGCTTTGCCACAACTTCGTGGGTGTAGATGGCTCGCAAATGCTTGGCCTTGGTGGCCACCCGACGCAAATCCATCCGATTGTACCGACTCGCTCGGTCCAGGGCGTCGATTCGCGGGTCGTGGCGCACGATGTTGATCAAGTACTCGAGCGGGTCGTGCGGCTGTTCGACGAGCACTGCCTCCAGCATCACGTGCATCATTTCCCGCACGTAGTTGCCCAGCGAGTAGTTGGTCATGTTGACCATCAGCGCTTCGTTGCGCGGCTGGTCCGACATGATGGGTGGGTTGCTTCGAGGGGGGAAGTCAGTTACGAATGAAACGGTTCGGAATGCCCAACAGCGGTTACACTTCGAACGGTCACCCCCTTGTAATGCTGCTCTTCTAGTACTGTAGTATCGCAAAATACCAATACTGTGGTATATGAGTGTATTAGTAGTACTAATGCTAACAACGGCACGATTGCCAATGAGGTGAAAGGACCATCACCAACCACAGTGCAAGTTGTTGAGGGGGAACGTCAATCAAAAGTGGTTAGGTGTGGTGGTGGCAGCAGCGATGGAATCATCATGATGCCATAATGATCGTGATTGGTAATAATACTAATGGAGTTCGGTAGTAACGTTAGTTTTCAAATTAGATATACATTTCTATAATATAAGGCAGGGATTAGTTGGTAGTAGTGGCGGGTATGTCTTGTTACGGACGGCAACATGTCATGTCAATGCTGCATCGTGGGCGGGAGGTCCCTTGCTGTCCTATTCGACGACATGGTTTGATGGCATCGCGCAGCTTGGATCTCGGCGTTTCGTGCTTGAAAGTGCTGTATTTCACTGAAAATTCGACCTATATATATATATATGTCACCCGTGATCAAGCAATATACCACCAGACAACACATACTCTTCAATTTTTCACGATTCAACGGCACGTTTTCAAATTCCATGTCCAATGGCTGCATGTCCACGACCTACTCGATCCATGTTGTCGTGAGTGTCCTCGTGTCCATACAATTACAGCGCACCTCTTTTGCGGGTAGTCGAATATCTGCGAGAAATGGATGGTTCAGCGCGCCTTCCAGCTATGTTTTTGCCAACTCATGAGTCGACAGATATTGTCCAATCCACATCATACTTGTTTTACAAGCACACGTACAGTTATCCGACGGTCGGGGTTGAAGGTCAGAAATTGTTGCAGCAGGTCCAGGGCTTCAGGGGGGGCGCCAGGGTACACCTACATACACACACGTGGCACTCTGTCACTCGACAATTCAATCCACCACATATGGCGAACGCACCTGCGCCAGGTTCATCGGGTCTTTGCGCTGCAATTTTCGCAGATATTGTTTCACCTGATATATACCACACGGTTAGAATTCCGAAATATATATATATAGAAACCAATAACAACGCACCTCGCCCAAGTTGCCAATGTCTTCTTCGCTTGGCGTGCCAATCACGTTGAAAATAACATTCAGTTGATCGAGCTACAGTATAGAGGACAACGACGCATGAGACACACACATTGAAAAGCAATATATTGTCGATTTGATACAAATTTGGGGAGGGGGGTGCTATCGAATCGCGCCGACCAAACTGATCCACAATCGATCTGATTGGTTGAATTTCATTGAGAAGGTTTTGATTGGCTAATAATTTTGAGCTCATCTGAGGTAGCCAATCAAATCGATTTAAATTCCAACGAGAAACCACAACACGAAATTTCACTGGAAAGCACAATAGAGTATGCCACATATATATATTACAAAACGATAGGTATGCTCCACGGTGGGGGGGTGGTTACCTTGTCCGAGTAGGTGGTTGGTCGGTCTGCGCTCAATGGAAAGCAAGAACGACCTGGAAAGATGGGAGTCCGAGACTACGACGAGTATGAGCCAAGCGTTGAGGGGCTAACTATTTTTCGTGGCTGAGTTTGGTGTGAGTACCTGGTACTGCGAGCAGCTTTCGACTTGCATGCTCAACAGTTCTGCAAAGATACACCCTAAACTCCACAAGTCCACAGCGTAGCCATAGTCCTACACGTGTCCATGAGACCATTCATTTGTGAATGAGTGAGCCAATATATATGAAAAATGATATATATATATATATGTCATAACTTCAATGAGCACCAAGAATATAGAAGTAATATATATATATCAGAACTTCAATGCGTACCAACAAACCAATCAATGAAAAATGTTATAATAGAAAAAAACGTACCTGGAGCAGTATTAACTCAGGGGCGCGGTACCACCGGGTCACGACATGTTTGGTCAGTTGGCGTTGGAACTACAAGCGCCACAAATATTAGTAAAGCGAATAAATAAACACAAAATCCAAGAAATACATCGACAGAAGCCCCCCCCCGTACCTTTGGCATGTGGGGGTTATCACCGCCCTTTTTGTTTCGAAAGGCGGGGGACACGGGCTCGACATGGGCGTTTTCTTTCAAGATGGCTTCGTCCACAACTCGTGCCAGGCCAAAATCACAAATCTACACACATATCCTCGATAAATATATATATATATATATATATATATATATAAAAGGGGCCAACAACCTTGAGCGTACAATCTTCGTTGACCAAAATATTCGCTGGCTTCATGTCGCGGTGGATGACATTCGCCGAGTGAATGTACTTGAGTGCACACAGCAGTTGATATAAAAATACTTGGATATGCCGCGTGGTCAAGTACTGGGGACTCATAATCAACTTGTGCAAGTCCGTATCGACAAACTCAAACACCAAGTACAGGTCGTTGAACGTCGCGTACGATGGCGGCTGCAGGACATCCAGCAACGTGATCACTTCGGGATGGCTACACAGATTATATATCAAGCATTGATATGGTGTACGTAGTTAGTTCCCACTGGACGACGTTTTTGTGTACTACCGGAGGTGGCGCAGAATGTAAATTTCACGGTACAGTCGCTTGCAATCGACTTCTTGGTCAAACACGTTGTTGATTTTTTTGATCGCCACGCGCTTGTTGCCGATCGTATCGTATGCTTCCGCCACCTATAGGACATAAAAGTCGATAATATCCATATCATATACCTGGACATTTCGCAGCAAACATCTCACCTGGCCGTACGAGCCCTTGCCGAGGACGCGCACGAGGCGGTAGCGAGTGCCGACGTTCCACGACCGAAAGCTGTTCTTTATGTTCGAAGAAGAAGATGAGGAGGAGGCTGAGGGCGCGGCGGGTGGTCCTGCTTGCTTTTCCCCTTTGACGGGAGACGACGGCGTCGACCGATTCGACACGGACGTTTCTCCCGACGACGAATACGACGCGGCCGACTTGGCCCCTGCCGCCGGTGGTGCCATCGTGGAATCTTCAGGTGGCGTGGGCAGTTGGTTGAACCTCGTCGCGCCAAACGAGGGCGTTGGCGGCATCGTCGAAGGAGGGCCGTGTGGCGTGGGCGCAACGTCCATGAAACCTTTCGGTGGCGTGATGACCTCGACGATGTCTGGGCGGACAAGCGACGTGCGGCGCTTCTTCAGCAGTGCTGGAGGCGCCGCAGCAGGTTTGGTGACGATAGCATGCAGGCGCTTGTTGGTGGTGGCCACGGCTGGCTTGGTTGATTTGGGCGGCATGATACTAGTGACGGTGGCGTGAGAGAGAGATATCGAGCGAGCGGTGTCTGTCTGCCACGAGTGTAGTTATGCTGCGCGATCAAGTTTGGGCGAATATCCAACGTATACGTGCCAGGAGAATGGGACCAAACCTGGGAAAATTGTATTCTTGGCATGTATAGCATGCGTCGGGTACGTGCCCAGCCGTGATTTAATGGCCATGTGTGGCGGTATTTTTGGATTTCACGTCGACGGAATAAAATGTTAGACACAGTTCAGCTTAATTCAAGGCCATTCTTTTATATGACCACGCTCGATTTCGATATTAAAAACCATGCACCCGGGACGGGCGGGCTGGGTAGACGGGCCGGCTCTTAGCTCGAGTGACCAACGTCAAGTTGCAGAATCAGACCACCATGAATAACACTATGTTCGTAGTGGTATGTACAACAAGGTGAAGCACGTCCATTCATTTCTTGCGTGTTGGCCTTACCGGGAAGCCACGATCCCGAGAGATGGACTGTACAGCAGCCAAATCGGCCCCTTTGGTTTTCATTCAGGGAGCATGTTTTGCGTGTCTACCCACGATACAGTATCTCGTTTTTCCCATGGATTTGGTACATACAGTACAGTAGAAATGGTGCGTACCCACCCGCCCAGAACAATGAAATCTCGATGATGGAGGCAACAACGTACTTGATACTACCGGTAGTACTACGTATACATGTAGTACTACTACTAGTAGTACTAGTAGTAGCTACCGAGTGATCAAGTTGCTGCTGATAGGCACGATGTTCAACACGACGATGTCCTGCACGGGCCACTAAGTACTACCACTAGCACAGCAACCAACTAGGTTGGCGTCATGTCCACCCCGTGTGCCGTTCACTGAATTCGTTCGGCAATGTAATAATGATCCACCGTTTACGCACAACGTTCGTCGACCAGAACGACTACAGTACACACGTTATGTACACGTTAAACGTTCCGTTGGATGCTCCTACTGTATCTACACAGATATGAAGTCCGAGATTCCATCACGCACCAGCCAGTCCTCGCTGACCAGTGGCTTTCTACGAATTCGATGCCTGGAGTGTTGACAACGTCCTTTTTATGTAACGTTCACTCCGAAACTTGATAAAGTAACGGTACTTGTGTTACGGTCGGTTTTGGATTCTACTTTGATGACACATTATTGCAGTTTCGCACCAATATTACTGTTAGTACTTGAAGTATGATGCAAGAAGTAAGTGTTGTCGTTTTTGGTGGTGGTTTGTTTATGGGAGGACGAGGAGGGGGATAGTTATCCAAGAGAACCCACCCACGACCCCGGTGAAGAGGAAAGGAAAGTAGCGTCTCCAAGTCCATACTGTCAGTACACGAATTCCCGGATGGGTGAAATACTAGTACTACTAGTACGTAGAAGTATAGTTTTGTAGAGGTAGGAGGTGTACCTACCTACCTGACAGAATATTATACCCTAAGCACAAAAACAATTTGCAAGGATCAATACGATAATCAAGTTTAAAATATTTTAATTGTCGCCTTCCTACCTAACGTTACTTTTAAGGTGTTTCTTAGAAAATGAATGGGACACTAGGACATGATAGATACTGTGAAAATAATGTTTCAGTGCTAGTTGGAAAGACCTGTGTTTCCTGTTGAATTATCAGTTTTCAGAAGTCGAAACCCATTCCTCACAGTCAGTCAGTGCCGAGCTGCTTCCATTTCCCGGTAAGCTTAGCGACTACTCCAAAATATATCTCTTAAATTGGAACTTTACGTTAATTTGGGTTCTTCAATGTCGAGCAGACGTACTGTTGACGAAATCCCCTTGTCCTTGCATGCTACAGTACCAGGTCGGTCGATGCATGCTGCATAACTACAGTAAGTACAGTACACATCGATCCTTTCATGTTGGACATGTAAGTTGTGTACACGTTGGATGATTCCAACAAGTGAACATTAATCCCCGGTTTTTGCAGCTTGTATAAATTAATATCCTGATCAGCATTTATATATATATATATATATGCTTTGTGAACAGGAGAGTAAAGAGAATCAATACAACTTATAGCAAATTCTGCGTAAATAAAGAGCGAATAATTTCGACCACGCTAACATGGACACTTTGCTTTCCAACCACGAACGCCTCCAAGTATGCCAAGACCACCAAAGCGGTTGACTTCGCACCAAAAAATCTACTTAAATGGTATAATTATGAAATAGTTTATCGAAAGGTGGTGGGTATTTGCTGGCTTACATTAATGTTAAGAAATGTTAACGAATTGCCCTATACAGTCCGGGTGTAGCACGAACTACTGTACTCCCATAACCCATAACCTTTGCATATGCAACAATATCAACAGGTTACTACTGTATGTATAGAGCGAATTGGTTAATTGATTTATATAAAACACATGGGATCAAGAAGAACATTTATTTAAAGAGGTATTTCGACACAACTTTCAAGGTCGGTGATTGGCTGAATCCGATGTCCCTTCAATCGTGTCTCTTAACAATTGGAACTCGACGTACGTTAACGGTAGAGTGCTGGAAAGTCTAACCCCCTGTACTACGTACGTACACTGGGCATCACAAGTACGTGTGTGTGTAGTACTGCTATAACTTAACTCCGCGGCTTAAACTTGTTGTCGAGTCTGGGGTTGTCGCCTTTGCTGAAATCGACCGTGCGGAGGGCATACTGGGGCTCGGTGCAGATCTTCATCACGGCTTGCACGCCATAGTTGAGGGGCACCGAGTACAATCCGTCAAGGTTGACCTTCATATCCCACCCGAGCGATCGCATCGACACGCGGCGCGCCTTGCCCCTATCCATATATCGATCACTCATACATCTCTTTGACCAACCAGCCACCACCACCACAAGGCATTTTTGATTGGTCGTTGATAATATAAAGTAGTTGGTTCGTACTTTCGGAATCGAATGTCACCAAACGTGGCGTTGATGATAGGTTCGCGCACGACGTAGCCCATATCGAGCGAGTCTTCGGCAAACACGTTGTCCTTGTTCAACCTACACCATCACTCTCACTTTGCCTTTTTTCCCTTGTTCAAGTAGTCGTATTTTTATTATTGTCAAAACAACAGCGGTAGGATATATATATATATATATATATATATATATATAATTGTCACCTTTCCGTGATTTCCGTGACCGTTTCGTTCGTGTAGCTGTGAAAGTCCATTGCGTGCAAGATGCTCGAGATTTGTTCGCGATGGATTTGAGACTACATCAACACAACATATTGTCGTCATCCGAACGATTTGCGGCCACAGAAACAAGTTCAAGATGGGCGACGTACGGCGCTGTAATACCACGCACTGGACCCGGTGCCTGTGCACACAATGATGCCGCTGCTACGATGCGATTCTCGCTGGTGCTGGTCAATGCCAATGTTGTAAAACGACGGCCGAGACGCGTCCGATTCAGCGATAAACACCTATTAATCACGTAAAATGCCAATTATTGGTATATAAAGCTAAGCCAATATTGTGCTTTCGAGTGAAATTTCGTGGTTTCTCGTTGGAATTTAAATTGATTTGATTGGCTACTTCAGATGAGCTCAAAATTATTAGCCAATCAAACACTTCTCAATGACATTCAACCAATCAGATCGATTGTGGATCGGTATTGTACCCCCTCCCCAAATTTGTATATCAAATCGACAATATATATCGCTGATCCCAAAATATTTAAAAAGCGCCAATCACAGAACAAACCTGTGAATATGTATGTATACTCGTAAACATACAACGGTAAAGGTTAAAATAATACAGTATGTCAACACATTGGCACATTACTTTATAGAGGTATACATTCATGCATATATGAAGTGTTGTATCCAGCTCAATGGTGCGAAATACATTACATTGGCACATTACTTTATAGAGGTATACATAAGCCCTGAAACTTGTCGTAGGAGACTTTAGGATTCTCCTCCGAATAACACACAACAACAAAATTGTAATACCAATAATATATATATAATTATTGGTATTGCAATTGAATATATGGTATTCTACGTTACACCAAACTCCATATGCCACAACACATATTTTCGATATACAGACAAGAAGAAACATGTACCTCGTTCAGGGCATACCGAGGCAGTTCGTACTTGAACCCTTCCTGGTTGACCATACCCACCCGAATGCGTTGGCGGTTGCGCCACTCAAAGTCGCCTACATGTACAATATATATATATATATATTTCATGTTATATGATCTTTATCATGACGAGGATGTATATATGTCGTCAAGGACGTACCTTTGAGCAGGCGCTCGAGGCCCACGACGAACCGATTACATGTAGCGTCGATCGAGTAGCAGCACAGATTGCCTTCGCTGCGCGCCGAGTCCGTGTTGAGTCCTGTCAGGGGGATGGGTTTGTTGACAAAGCTCGCGGCCTACGTCAGGGGCAGCGTTGACCACCTCTGCAAGTACGTCTGCAGCAACATGTACCTTCAAGAACGTGCCGTCGCCCCCCGCCGAGAACACCATGTCTGCGCCATCGTACGCTTCATGTGACAACTCATGCGCGTTTACCACGGACACTGCAATCTCATGCTCCTTGAGACTACGCAAAACAACAATATCGTGACCATGTTATATATCTCGAGGCGGCAATTGCATTATATAATCACTTTTAACAATATCACGAGCTATCGCCGCTATGGGCGAATCCATTTTTGAGTGTGTTTGATTGGCTCTTACAGAAAGGACAAGTATATATTCAACCAATCAGAACTCCAGCGTGACATTCCATATTAAAATTAGACAAAACCAGGCGAATTTTAAAAGTGTATAGCGAATTCACAAAAACATAAAAAACTATCTCTTTGGATTACAATAATCACAATCTTTGCGACGACCACCGGCAAACCCAAAACGAAAACATCAGACCCATTCAAGTCCTAAATAAAATGGGGCCAAGAATCTGCTTTCGATCCAGCACATCGCGTAACTCGTGGCCTCATGACAAGGAAATGTACATCATTTGATTTCAAAGTACAGTTGGGGACACAGAGCAACCACATCACCCCAATCTAATGCACACACGGGGCGGTATTGTAGTGTTTATTTCAAATATGAGCACGAATGTATTGTGCTTTCGAGTGAAATGTCGCGTTGTGGTTTCTCGTTGGAATTTAAATCGATTTGATTGGCTACTTCACTTGAGCTCAAAATTGTTAACCAATCAAAACCTTCTCAATGAAATTCAACCAATCAGATCGATTGTGGATCGGTTTATTCGATTGCACCCCCTCCCCAAATTTGTATCAAATCGACAATATGTATATATCGACAAAAATCAGCAAAACTCGGCACAAGAATGGAGCCCATCGGATTGCAGCCAACCAAAATACAACATGTAATTAGTATGTGACTTGAATTGAGTGTTTCGGTGGTCGTCAATCGAATGCGCAGACCAATTAAAAATCACCAGACATTCGATATACGTTCGACCAATCAAAACCCACAACACGAATCCAGTAGCCAATCAAATTATCCACATTTCGACCAAATCAACTTTTAATTAGTATGTGACTTCAATTAGTGTGACGCTGGACGATTTAGACATACAAACGTCAAGACACAAACAATATCGATCGATAGATGTGGCAAAGAATCAGCACAAAAGTCAACCACATTTTGGGTAAAAAAAAGACAAAATCACGGTTGTTTATATCTCAAATAATGATTCCGTACAATATATCGAATCGATGGAATTGGCAAAAAAGTCCAAATATTGTTAGTATTTTGGCTGAAAACGATCAAAAACCAATAGTACCAGGTTGTGACGTCGTCGACAGCGTCCATGTGGTGGTCATGGCTGGCTTTGAGCCGATCGTACACGAACCCGCGCATGGACATTTGCTTCTTGAGCGCTTCGCCCGTGTTGCCATACAGCGACTCTTCGTGCTGGTACCGCGTCATCTTGTTGACCACGACCACCTTGTTGAGCGCAATCTTGGGCGACGGCACAGACGGATCGAACGGACTCTCAATGTTTGGATGCAAACTGCTGCTGCTTTCCTGGCGGTACGTTTGCTGGATGTACTCCTCCGACACGATCATACGTGGCACGCGCTCGGCGATTGCCAGCATCATCTCGTTGTCGTACACTGGTCGGTTGATCTTGATCCAGCCCTTGGGACTGAGCTTTTCGTTCCATGGACACACCGATCGCATGTGCGTGAAGAACGGCGCGACCTTGCCGGTCGTCGGGTCCGTCCGCGTGTAGTGGAGAATGTGGCCGTTGTGCAGCTGGTCCACCATCCGGCCGCTCATCTGCAGTTCGCGGAATGTGTCTTGGCTCATGCGTTCGAGACGCGTGCGGAGCGCCCACATGACGTCCCCGTGGCACACCAACAACACCTTCTTGCCAGGCAATTCGCGATGCAACACACACATCAACCGGTCCACGCGCTGCGCGACGGTCGCGAGCGATTCACCGCCCGGTGGTGCATAGTAGAACCGGTCGAGGTCCCGTCGCTTGAGCTCGTCCTGCATTTTCACGCCGCGCTCGGCTTCCGACATGAGGTCCATTTGGCCCCAGTCTCGTTCGCGAAGCAGCATTTCCGCGTACCATTGGGCGTCGGGCAAGTTGAACCGGGCGGCAGTCTCCATGGCGCGCAAGTACTCGGAAACGAGGTACCGATCATAGTACGCCAAGTCTTCTTTGCGCAGCCACTCGCCGGCCGCTTCTGCCTGTTCGCGACCACGGTCGGTCAACCGCCAGTTGCAGCTGTGCCGATTTTTGAACTCGCCGCTGTACAAACTGTGATCTCCTTTGATTGACATTTCCCGCGCCACGTTGCCTTCGCTCTCTCCATGGCGCACGAGGACCAGGTCGGCGAGGCGAGGAGCATTGAAATGGTGCAAACTCCGCACGGCAGTCGTCCATCGGGCGACACCGCCACCGACCCGCAGCTTTCGCATCATCAACGCCATGTGGAACGTTTTGTTTGTGGTCCCAATTTCAATGACTTCGTTTTTGTATGCTCGGATTGTGTTTGCTGCAGTGCCTTTTTTGTGGCTTCCGGATATGCAGATATCCGGATTTTCGTATCTCGAATCTCATGACTGACTGACTGGTGAATCTCAAATGACGATCGACAAAGTCTCGATGGGGCCAACACATTCTCCTGCAGCATACTGCACACTACACCAAATCGTAATAGAATTGTAGCATGCGATGCTTTGCCTTAGTCATATTTGCTCTACAATCGACTGCGTCCCCACATGTCCATGTATGTCCTCCATGTGGACAAGGGCAACGTACCAAGTATGTAGCGCTCAAGACCGCTGAGGAGTTAAAAGGACTACGCTTGGACTTGGCATAAGCACAAGTCTCACATAAGTGACCACGAAGGTGCTTTGCCTTGAAGTGCATGACGAGATGAAGATCGAACTAAGTTGCATCAACCCCATGATGGTTCCTAGCTTGGCGATGGATCCGAATGCTCAAACGCGATAGACCAATAGACCAACAGGTGAATTACTTCTTCATACACCAAAGCCTCTAGGGTCTGCCTAATCTAAGCAATATAAATCATATACACTACTGAGCTATGATGAAGGGAATCGTAATCTACTAGCACACAACATAGCTCACCGTGCCATGTTTATTGTACTTGTAAATATACGAAACCAAAGCAGGGCGCCATCATCGATTCTCTACATCATTTCTTCCATGTCTTCATCTTCGTCGAACTCGCCTTCTTCTTCAGCCGTGGCGTCTTGGTATTGTTGGTATTCCGACACCAAGTCGTTCATGTTCGATTCGGCTTCGGTGAATTCCATTTCATCCATGCCTTCGCCCGTGTACCAATGCAAGAAAGCCTTTCGTCGGAACATGGCTGTGAATTGCTCCGACACGCGCTTGAACATTTCTTGAATGGCGGTCGAGTTACCAATAAAGGTTGTACTCATCTTTAGGCCCTTGGGGGGGATGTCACAGACGCTGGCCTTGATGTTGTTGGGGATCCATTCCACGAAGTACGAGCTGTTCTTGTTTTGCACGTTCAACATTTGTTCGTCAACTTCCTTGGTCGACATGCGGCCACGGAACATACAGGCGGCAGTCAAGTAGCGGCCATGACGAGGGTCAGCGGCGCACATCATGTTCTTGGCGTCGAACTGTTGTTGAGTCAGTTCAGGGACGGTCAAGGCACGGTATTGTTGCGAGCCACGCGAGGTCAAAGGTGCGAACCCGATCATGAAGAAGTGGAGGCGGGGGAAGGGGATCAGGTTCACAGCCAATTTGCGCAGATCGGAGTTCAACTGACCAGGGAAACGAAGGCAGGTGGTGATACCGGACATGGCGGCACAGACCAAGTGGTTCAGATCGCCGTAGGTGGGGGTGGTGAGCTTCAGGGTGCGGAAGCAAATATCGTAAAGGGCTTCGTTGTCCAAACACATTACTTCATCGGCGTTTTCGACGAGTTGATGCACCGACAAGGTGGCGTTGTATGGTTCGACGACGGTGTCCGACACCTTGGGGGAAGGGCAGACGGAGTACGTGCACATGATACGATCGGGGTACTCTTCACGGATCTTGGAGATCAAGAGCGTTCCCATGCCGGAGCCAGTACCGCCGCCGAGAGAGTGGGTGATTTGGAAGCCCTGCAAGCAATCGCAGCTTTCGGCTTCCTTGCGGACGACATCCAACACGGAGTCAATCAACTCGGCACCTTCAGTGTAATGTCCCTTGGCCCAGTTGTTACCGGCACCGGTTTGGCCGAAGACGAAGTTGTCGGGACGGAAGAGCTGACCGTAAGGACCGGCACGCACGGAATCCATGGTACCAGGCTCCAAATCCATCAAAATGGCACGAGGCACGTAACGACCGCCAGTCGCTTCGTTGTAGTACACGTTGATGCGTTCCAATTGCAGGTCAGAGTCACCATGGTAGGAGCCGGTGGGGTCGACACCATGCTCGTCGGAGATGACTTCCCAAAACTTGGCACCGATCTGGTTACCGCATTGACCACCTTGAATATGTACCAATTCACGCATTGTTGTCTACTTCATGCGGTAGATGAGTTCTCCGTGTTCGCGTAAGGAAAGGACGTCTGTATGACTCATGATTGTCCGACGAGCCATACCTGTTTCGGAGGTTTGCACGGGGCGGCGCTTTCGAAAATGAGCTCCACTGACGAGTCACAGGCTTTTCCCCACCCCTGGTGGATGAAACAGTTCAAGCTTGGCCTATCAACCCCTCTACCATGCACCTTCTGTAAAAGAAATTGTACTTGGTTTTACTATTGACTCTAGGGGTATCAAAAGGGGTACCCGTCAACCCCACCCAATTGTAACGAAAGATCTCGAGTGTATTTTTATCGTTTGTGGAAAAAACCCTCGCCCCAAATTCAAAATTTGAAACCGATTGCGAGGGAGCCAATCATCGTGTCGTATTCTCGAAAGGGGTCGGGTGGAACGATCCACTGACCAATCAGCGCGTGATCTGCTTTTAGGTTTGTCGAAAACGAAACAAAAACAATCCATGGAGGGCGGCGCGCGCGCGCTGTGGAGTTTCGGCGGCGAGGCGGTGGCGTCGAGTATTTATAGGACTGCGTGAAACGTTTGGAGCTTCTCAATAAGAAGCGTTGGGGCGGTGTGACTGGTGAACCCGCTCAGAAGGTCAAGATGGTGGCACTACGAATCTTAGGCTCAACATCAGCGAAAGCAGCTTGCTGTCGCTACGTATGTACCCCATCGACGCGGTGTGTCGTTAATGGAGCAAACAATCGACACATAAGATGTCGAGTATGAATGAGCCACGCGTCAAATCGCTCCGTAGATCTCGCTGCAAACTCAGTGTGTAGAAGATGATAGTCTCACGCACATCTTAACTACAGCTCCATCTAGATATTCTTGAGCTCTATGGCCAGGATTGCGTTCTGCATTGGCCATATGGACATGGGACGAGCGACAATAGAGCATCGCCGCATGTTCGGGAGGAGGTTGACTTCGCCATGGAGATTGCTTGGCGAAGCAAGTGGCGGCATCCCACTATCGGCATCCCGCCGCGTGTGTAGCTAAATCCCAAGAGGCGAAACCCGAACAGCATGACGTTCTTCAAGTCGAACTCCAACAGTTGAAAATAGATCAAAAACGTTGAAAAAAGTATGAACTTAAATACTCAATGGCAAGTAAACTGAAGATTTTTAGTTTGAAATTGGCATAATATAGTTCTTCCCAATGTCCCACATGTGAGTGGAATCATAAAAACGTCCTTTTCGTGTAAGCATGCATGGGAACATCAAAACCAAGTTCCACGTGTGCATCAACGCATGGGCAACTTCTGTGCTCCGACGCTCTTCAGTGAGCCCAGCAGCGCCCTGCCCAAGTGGGAACATGCCACGGCAACCATCTCTCCGTCGTCAGAGCATACTGCTACAATCATTTGGCTCCATGGACTTGGAGACTCGGGGCATTCATGGCACAAGCGTGTTGTCGAGGCCACGCCGCTGCCGCATGTCAAGTACATATTCCCGTCTGCCCCATTCCGTCCTGTGACGCTAAATGGCGGCATGATGATGCCCGCGTGGTTTGACCTGAATGGTCTTCGTCCAGAGGTACTGTACACATTTATCAATGATCAAATACTGATGCCAACGACACCGCGTTGCACTCCTGGCATTCGTAGGATGCAGAAGACGAAGCCGGTATCAATCGATGTAGCCACCTGCTTGCCCAGCTCATCGACAAGGAAGTTAAATCGGGCATTTCACCTCAGAATATAGCTGTGGTGGGGTTCAGCCAAGGCGGTGCTTTGGCAGCCCATACGTGCTTTCGAATGGTGCCATATCAACTGGGGGCCCTTGTCCTCATGAGCAGCTACGTGCCGCTAGCGTCTTCATTTATCCCCAAGCCTGACTGTTGCAACACGCCGACCCTCGTGTGCCATGGCGATCGCGATGTGCTGATTCCTGCTGCCTATGCGACCAAGTCCAACGAACTGTTTAAGGTCCACGGCATCCCCACACAGCTCATACTGTACAGAGGCCTCGCACACACGTCCAATGCTGGGGAAATGGACGACATTGGCCAATTTTTAACACACCACCTCAGGCTGTCCATTCCGAAGCATGCGTAATGGCATGGCCACTGTGATTAAATACAAAATTCCTATTTACTGTAGTGTCATCGACGTACTTACACATGATTCCTCGAAAAAGTGAGGCATTATATTGAGGTGTGTGTGCAGCGTATCAGGGGGTGCTACTCATTCGCTATATACAGTAACGTGAGCTCGTCCTACATTGTTTAGGCCTTGATTACACCATGATTGCTCTACCCGATAGTTGGCGATGAGTACGCGGTGAAATTTGTGTGTGAAGGCTGTGCTCGTGGGCAACCGGTATATGAAGTAAACTACTACGTACGTAGTAATTGGTGCACAAACCATGAATCAAACAACTAGATTATCCCGTTCAAATGTGGACAAGCAGTTGGCGACATGCACTCGATGGATGCAATTGACTTCTCTATAGCATCGCAAACGCTGAAAGCACCGACTTCAGACCATGAGGCTCGCGCCATTCAACCAAGGCAAGGCGCCTGCGTCGCGAACGCGGCGGCAAGTGTCCTCGTTCGCTGGTTTTGCACCGTAAGCGAACGCGGTGCCCAACTCGGACGCGAGTTCAATCGACTGCGACGACGCATTTCCTGTATCGCATCCAAAGGACACTCTTAGCCTGACCCTTGTCACATCTGGTGCCACGGAGGGTCAACGTGTCGAGTGGCATCACCACAAGAACTCGAGACAAGAACTCGCCAGGACTGTGCCCTCGAAGCCTGGTCTTTTGCCACGTATCGTGGCCTTTTTTATGCGGATCCGGATACTAAACGCGACCAGGCAAAATCTCATTATTTTCAATCTTTCCAAAATCCATCAAATCCTTCAAGATGCCGCGTCGGTCTCGGACCTGGGGTCGCCTCGCGGTGCTCGTCCTTGTGTTCCTTCTCTTCGCCGAAGGAATCGACGCAGCACCCAAAAAGAGCACAGATTACTACAAGATCCTCGGAGTGCCCAAGAACTTCAACGACCGGCAGCTCAAGAAAGCCTACCGAACGTTGGCACTCAAGTACCATCCCGACAAGGTCGAGGAGAGCGAGCGCGAGAAGGCGCAGGAAAAGTTTTTGGAGATCTCCCAGGCGTATGAAGTATTGTCGGATCCAAAGAAAAAGGAAGAGTACGACTTGTACGGCGCGGATGGTCAGGGCGGCGGCGGCAATGGCGGGCAACCCGGTGGACATCGGCATCACCATCACGGAGGCGGTCCTGGATTTGATCCGTTTGAAATGTTCAATCAGTTCTTTGGACAGGCTGGTCGTGGCGGCAACGGCCAGCGTCGGGGCGGGCACCAAGAGTTCCAATTCAGCGGCATGGACGGGTTTGGCCAGCAACAACAGCACCACCGCCACCCACCAGTGGAACCCCTGTACCCCAAAGGCGCGTCCACCGTCGTCAACTTGTCCCCCAAGAAGTTTCCCGCCACGGCGAACGCCAAAAACGAATGGCTCGTCGAGTTTTACAGCCCCAACGACAAGAAGAGCGTCAAGTTCAAAGACAAGTTGCTCAACATCGCCAAGGACTTGCGCGGCCGCGTCAAGGTCGGCGCCGTCGACTGCGACAAGCACCGGTCGTTGTGCGACCAATATGGCGTCGAGACCCTCCCGAGCTTTGTGCACGTATGGCAAACCAACGTGTCGCCGCTGTACGACGGCCCGTTGGACGAGTATAGCGTGTACAACTTTGCGTTTGAAAAGTACGCGGCGCGGTACCGCGCACGGCGAGACGCGGGGGACGTGGATGAGCTACACGGCGGCAACCAAGCCAAGCTGTGCAACCTCGGCAAGGATGCGGACGTGACGACATCGTCCCCGCTCTGCGCTGTGTTTGTCTTGCCAAAGAAGAAGGACCAGTGGATGCAACACGTTCGAGACGTGGCCAAGGCGTTCCGAACAGACCACCGCGTGAACGTGGTGTGGGTGGACGAGGCTAGCCAAGCCAAGGCTTTGAAACCGCTGCAGCCGTACTTGACCAAGGGGCAACCGTCGTTGGTCCTGCTGCGACGAAAAGCGGGCGGAAAGCTCCGTGCCGCTGGGGCCCATCCAAGTTTGCCGTCATTCGACGCAAACGACCTCACCGCCACGATCGAGCGAGCGCTAGGGGGGGATTTGACGCTTGCAAATGTAGAAAATGCGAATGCCGTAGACTTCAAGTAAACACGGATATGAAAAAGAACATGTACTGTGGTGTTTGGTTGTGGAAAGATAGTACGAGTTGTACGCGGCCAGTCGTGAAGGGTTGGGTGAAGTTGATTATTGCACATGACGACGTGGCAAAAGCTATATAACAAAAGTACAGTTTAGAAAGAGTATTATAACTGTATTGTACATGGGAAAATGCGAAGTTAAGTTAACGTTATTATGTAGAATTATAACGTTACACTATGGAAGTGGTAACACTCTAGATACCCTTGTACCTCCATGGTCATGTGGTTGCAATGTCGATCAAAGCGTTCAGTCGTTTCTTGGCGAGCGCAGACAACGACCCGTCGCGCGCGAGCACCGCCGACGACATGTGAAGGGTTTCGTACATAAATGTCTGGCAAACTTGCTTAGCCACGACCTTGAACTGGTCCTTGGTCATGAGGCCACGGCGGTACGCAGGGTACAGTTGGCTCTTGATGTGCTCCACTACCCGAGGTTTGGTCGGGAGAGGGTCTATCGGTGCCGGCCTAGCCGTTCCATCGACTCCACTGTACAAAGCTGCTGGCGATGGTCTACTATACGTCGGAGTTGCAAATGTAACTGCTGAGCCGACGGCCGTCGTCGTCGTTCGTCTCATAGGTGGCGTGATCAGGGGCGACTTTAGATGGGCGGCCGAACTGGACGTTGGCTTGGATTCCTCGACTTGAATTGACGACCCTTGGGCACTGGCCACCTCTCGCCGCCATTGCGCAAGCAACGATGTCGCAGTGGCTTGATGTCGTATATCCAGGTCCTTGGAGGCTACCAACGCAGCCATGCATTGCTCCAACCCGTCGCTCTAATCACGTACAGCACCACCATCATGACTATAAATCTCGCACTTGGAATGCATATACGAATCGATAGATGTTGCACGTACCTCGTGGAGCCTGACGCTAGTGATCGGCAATGTACCAAGGACATGCAACACCGCGTCAATCACCTGGGGATGTTGCAATTTGTGTGGACCGTACGGCTCGAGCCATCGTTTGAGGACACCCAGCACCCCCCATTCCAGCACTTGAGTCTGTTTCGAACGCGGGAGAGCGTCAAAGAACCTCTTCACCGTCGGCACGAGGCGGAGCTTGGCGGCCGTCGGCACCGGCGTCGACGTGTCTACGATCTGGGCATGCGTCATTCTGTCTCGCAGTGCATGGTATTCGCCTTGAAAGGTTGTGGGGGTATCGATGCTTCGTTGCCTGGACGTTAACGGAGTGGTTGTGGACTGTAGAATCGCTTGGATGTCTTCGATGCGATGCCGCTTTCGGCTGGTCAAGTAAGGCCCCCGGACGTCATCATGCCCCAACGAGTCGTCGTCCTCACTCAGGTGGTTGTTTGTAGCTGGCCTGTGGCCATTCGCCATGTGAATGATCCGCGCCGCTTCGGCTTGCATGCGCCGAAGGTCCGTCGCGGCGGGGGAGGCGCCGGTGCGAGCTCGTCGCCGTCGGCTTGGCGGGGCCTCGGCGGTGGTATACCGCGACACTTCGTTCTCAAATGGTAGCGACACACGTTGGCCTCGACGGACACCCACGCGAGCTTCCAATTGACTGATTCGACGAGTGGGTAGCCGGACACTGCGGCGGCGGGAGCTGCTGCGAAGCGTGGCCAAGGTGGTCGCGGGTCCTGTCAATCGACGGGTTGGAGGTGGCGCCACGTGGCTGTGGTCGGCGCAGTGCCAGAACCCCGCGGGCACGGACGGAAGGGGGAGGCAGTACGTGTGAGCCGCATAGTCGCACCCGTCGACGTCGCAGAGCAGCAGCACGTCCTCGTTGTCTCCGTTGCCACACAGCATGCACGCGTACTCGTTGAACAGGTTTGCGTTTGCGCGAATGCCGTGGCTGGACTGGTTCGTATGGACCTGTTTCGCGTCTTTCACTTCCGTGGTGGACTGAATCGCACCGGATGCGTCGCGACACACGATCGAGCAAAACCGCGTTTTGCACATGGGACACAAGTTGGTCACTTTGGCCCACTGCGCAATACAATCGAAGTGGAACGTATGGACGCACTTGAGCAGAAATCCTTGCGTGTCCACAGACTCGACGTTGTCTAGACAAATGCAGCAACACTGCCACATTCCACAGCATACACGTTAGTTGGCTTCAACACTGTGGTGGTGATGCGCGTGTACAATGTGTCCATACCGTTTCGTCGGTATCATCTAAAAGCAGCTCTGGCTTGCCTTCTTCTTCGTCGTCAATTCCCTCCACATCCTCGTCCAACTGCCGAATAGAAGGCTCCGCATCTCCATCACCTTCGATGTCCATGCACAGGTCGATGAAATCCTCGGCCATCAACGCCGCCGCCGCGCGACTTCGGATACCAGTATGCGGCCTCCAAACTTGCCACACAGCAAGCTAATTAACCGGAGTGGATGCATCATCCGGATAACTGGACATCACCACCACCAGCAACAGCAAAATGCCGCCACAGCTCGCTCCCAACTTGTACAGGTGTGGCCCTCCTTGCCGTGTTCGTTCCGCAATGTTGTTGATGATATGCGTATCTGCAGAGTGCTCCTTCGTGCCGCCAAGCAGTTCCACCAGTACGAAAGCGAGCACAGGTCATTATATGCCGCCGTTCGGTCGGGCAGCTTGCTGCCGTACCACGGTATCCGCGAAGACTGGAAGCGCGAACAGTCACTTCGATCGCTCGTGGATGGCATGTCGCCACACGAGACCCTGGCGTGGCGGGATGTGGTGACCGCAGTGCGTGATAAATTCACCGCCGCCGACTCCAAGTTGCCGGTGAGCGAGCGCCTCGACCGTGCGTTCACAACGTTGCGCCTCCTGGGCCAGCACAACGACATGGTCCACGCGCACATTGCCAACGGCATGTTTGCACCCAAGGTAGGAGGCAGTAGCCGCCACCACTACATACGGCGGATGCATGCATTCCAACGATGGTCACGTGCGGCGGTTGTAGCGGCGAGATGGGTTGCCGATGGACGTGTTGTTCAAAGTAGGCGACGTGGTTCGTGTGGAAGGCATTGGTCGGGGCGTCGTGTGCAGTTGGAACGTGCCTCGGCTCAAGTACCGCAAGTGCACACCCAAGTACACGATCCTCGCCCACATTCGACCTCGTCCCAAGGACGACGAGAGCGACGAAGATACCGCCGCCGACCACGACTTTGACGATCGATGGCGCATGTACCACGTCGACGAAACCCGCATCAAGCTGTCCCGCAAGGCGTCGGTGCGATCCACTCAAACAGCATGGCCTAATGAGCTGTTTTGACCGGTACCTTGATTGTGTATAGCCAGTGAAGAACCCGTCGCTGCTGTGTTACTTTGACGGGTTTGAGCACGGACGGCACGTGCCTTGTCGTTCGCTTGTGGCGCGCTTTCCCGACGACGTCGCGCCGCCGCCCCATGCTCGACCTGTGATCCCGTCCATCTTGGACCTCCAAAATGCCGACGAAGACGCACTCGTGTTGTACGTGCAAAGCCCGGACGCCACCGTTGCCCACATCGCGAGGACGGTGCTGGATGCAAAATGGATGGACGAGGCCGGTCCCGGGGCCAAACGCGACTTGGAACGCGCCATGGAAATGTACGCCGGTGGCAACAAACCGGCCGGTCGGAAGCAAATGAAGGCCATCGTCAAGGCACACCCCACGTATGTGTCGGCGCTGGAAATACTCGCCATTACCACCTTGGACGACGGTACACACATCAGCTACCTACCTAGCTACAGTAGCTGCTACTATATGTATCTTTTCAATCTGAGGATTCCCATGTATATGACTGTGGCGTAGGCAACGCAGAGGATGCGCTTGATCTGTTTCAACGTGTGGTGGATCTGAAACCGCTGCATCTGCGAGGACTGAGTGGCCTAGCCACGAGTGCCGCCAAGTTGAGGCAGTGGGACGTGGCCCATGCGTCGGCCGCCAAGCTCATTCGACTCGATCCGACGTCGTCGATTGCCAAACGAGTCTTGGCCAAGGTCGACGACGCCCTGTACTACCTGTTTTAGACCATCCCTCGTGCTTTTACAGTTAATCCACACCCTTGAACGAAATTACTCCTGTAATCGCAAATACAGTATGTACAGTACTTATTCATATGGTGCACGTCATCTATAAACTACCACTTTTCACAAAAATGTCTGACTTCTATTTCATATTCATTACTCAAAATTTCAGCAAATTGAGACGTAGAATCGACAGATCTCAATGTAATGAAGAAATTCTACGTCTCAGATTCAAATTTGGTGTTGAATTGGTCCAGAAATAGATATTTAACCTTGCGGTATTTTACATGGGCGCTTGGATATTTGGCCATAGGGGTGGCCGCTGAGATGTATATTGATTTTTGTATGTGACTCTTTTCCGTATATAATATCCGGAGGCAGTTGGGACCTTTAACCTCCCACTGCAGTGATAAAACGCATGAAATCGGTATTTAACGTATTTTGGTTTTGGGTTTAACTACATTAATTGTACGTTAAATAATAAAACCTCCACTCCTCGATTTGGCCAGTTGGAAGCTTTTAGATGACGTGCACCATAACAGTACTTATTACAGACTTACTGTTATTAATAGTCCTGGTCAATTCAAAGCTATGGATATAGAATTAGTCGAACTGGTGCACTATCTAGAGCATTTAACGCGCTTTCACGCGAAAATAATAGAAATTCGGCGGAAAGTAATTTCTAAAAAAGTCCGGATAAAACAGCAAGTGTGTCGACGAGTTGTGATTGGACAGACAGCGACGTAGTGATTGGCTGAATTTTCGTCGATTACACTCCTTGTCAATCATGGCCGACGACGACGCACCACTTGGTCAGCGCGAACGATCGCTGGGGCTATCCCTGGCGTATTTTCACCACTTCATCGACGTCCACGGAGGTCGCGACGCTTTCGAAGGCCTGACTACCTGTCATGTCTGCACTCGATTTGTCATGCCTGCAACCCGCCCGTCAAATCTGTCGTTGGTGGCCCACGTTCAAAGCCAGCATAGCGAGTACGTCAAGCCGGCGCAATGGTTGATCAGCCACTCGTGGTCGTACAAGTTTTTGGACGTTGTGGATGCCATTGACACATTTTGTCAAGAGCACGACCTCGGCCCTGACACTTCGTTTTGGTTTTGCATGTTTGCCAACAACCAGCACGTGATCAGTAGCGCCGATCCCACGGCGATGTTTGGCCATTGGCTGCAAGCGTTTCGCGAGGCTTTGACAGACACGGGGAAGCTCGTGATGGTGCTGAGTCCGTGGCACGACCCAGAGACCCTCAAGCGGACGTGGTGTGTGTACGAAGTGTACTTGTCGGTGGTGTTGAAAGCCCGATTTGAAGTCGCCATGGGGAAGGCTCAACACGCCGTGTTCCTAGCCGACATGCAAAACTTTGAAAGTGTGCTTGGGATGCTAGCCAAAGTCAACGCAAAGAACTCGACGACGACAGTTGCCACCGATCGCACGTGCTTGTTTGAGCTCATCGAAAAAGACCACGTAGGGTTTGCAGGTGTGGACCGCGTGGTCTTCGGCGCCATTCAAAAGTGGATCGTTCAAGCGCTCGACAATCAACTTGCCATGGCTACGCTTCCCGAAGACCGCTTTCGATGGTTAAACTCCAAGGGGAATATGTTGGTCTGCGTTGGTGCATTGTCCCAAGCTGCTGTGCTGTATGTCCGTGCAGTGGACGTTTTCCGACACGAGCTGTCACCAACCGTTTGGCAAGGCTGGGACGCCGTGGTTCGCCTTGGACTCGTGAAAGCGTACCTACGTGAACCCAGAGAAGCGTGGGATCCGTTGTTACACGAGGGCTTGGTCAATCTCGAACAGATCCTAGGGCGAACGCACAACACGACGTTGGAGGCAATGAAGGGCATCGGTCGCGTGTATTGCCGGGAAACAGACTTCGACCAGGGCATGTCATTGCTTCGCGAGTGCTTGGCCTTGGAGCTACAAGTGGAATCGAACGACAACGTGTACGGTACGATGCAATACCTGGGGGAGGCGCTGATGCACCAACACAACATCGTCGAAGCGCGATCGCTTCTCCAACGAGCGTACGACTGGATGTGCCGCACGCACGGACCCAACTTTGCACGCACGTTGTCGATTCAATGCGTGCTCGCCGTGGGCTACCACCTCCAGGGGCGGTACCGGGACGCCGAATTGTTGCTCCAATCATACTACGACAACGCAGTCCGAGTATTTGGGTCTGCGCACGTGGTACCTACCAGGTGCTTGATGTACATTGCAGTTATCCAACGATTGAGTGGCGAGTACGACAAGGCCGAGGGCAACATTCGGGAGTGTGAGGTAAACTCGCGTCGCGACGACGAGTTTGAAGAAGGATACCTTTTCTGTACGATCAACACTAGTGTTGTTGACGATAATGATGCTCAACCCCAACGGTGTAGGCAATAAGGAGCTTGGGCTGGTCGCGTATAGCAGAGGCAACCTCGACCAAGCCACGTCCATCTTGGAGGCCACGCACGAGTCGTTCGGGCAGTACTTTGGTGTCGACCACGACCAAACGCAAGAGGTGCTGCTGGTGAGCTACCTCGCCCATTTGGAACGGGGCTTCGAGTCGGAGGAGACCGTCGACCGATGGCTGGCCAAGTTCCAAGCCGCCAAGGCCACGGCAATCTCGTGGGGGGATGAACACAAGTGCCTTGCGTGCGTGAGACCGATCCAAGACGACATGCTCATGTGCCCCGAGTGCCCTCGGCTGTCTCGCCGACTGTGCCGGCCGTGTGCTGTTGCCAACCCCCCTCCCTTGGAAGGATGTGACCACGATATTACGTCGTGGACGGAGTTCAAACCACCGATTCGACACTTGCTCGAGCAAAAACAGCAACTTGGGATGCACGCGGCAACGACATCAGATGACGATGCGTTGGAATGTAATCCTCAGCCCATCGACACAACGCTAAATAACGCTCCATAACGTTTGAAAGCGTCCGTTTGTGGGTGGTAGTTCGATGGGTTTGATACACTGTAGGGTCATGTTATAGAGGAAAGCAAGCTAACGTCGCAGTCTCGACAGGGTGCCAGATAGACGGGTAGGGATGTCGTGGGTAACTAACGGCTTGGTGGGAGGTGTCGACTAGTTCGCGTCGCATAACGAAGGTTGACTAGTATTAGCGTGATACTACCGGTTCAGTTCGGCGTTTGAATAGCAGCGAACAATGTAGTAGATCCTTGTGGACAAGATCAATGGACCAATTGCAAAGTTTGTATGAGTCGACATCACAAAACTTGCATGTATTCCATGTCCATGGCCGACGAAGGATCATCTTATCGCATCTACAATGATGGACTATCATCACCTGTCGTGGTTGCGCTGGCTTTGCCACGGTAGCTACACTCGGCAGGATCCCACATCTGAACCGGTCGACTCCGAACACTAGCAGCCAACATGTTACACGACTGATGCCCAAATCATCACAACACACCTTGACATAGTGGCAACAAGATAGCAACATGGTTGATCTTAGAACGGATTGCACCGACAGAGCAAGGCGCGAAGCGCAAACGACGCGAGAGAGCCACCCGTGAGGCCAAGGCAGAGGCACAAGAACATGATGCTGCTGCAGAGCTCTCTGTGGGCGCGGTGGACGGCGTGGGGGCTCTGCATCATGGCGACGCTGCAAAAGTACCCATTCGACCAGGCACATGCGACGAGGACGAGGACAGCGACCCCATCTTGCTTGAACATGACAAACGGCGAGTCGCGGACGTTGCAGACGAAGAAGAGGCCGAAGAACGACAGGCGGGCGACGGCGGCCGCCACCAAGAGCCGGCGGTGGCCAAGTACGTACAGTCCCGTGCAGGCGCGGCCAACCACGTCGCCCAAATTAAACAACACGAACGTCAGCGCGACAAACATGGGCTGGTTCATGCTGGTCGATTCAATCGACGACGTGACGACAGGGAACAACGCCAGCGTCACGAAAAACGTGAGGAACACCGTCAAGGCGAAATGCCGGACTTGCCACAGGATTTTCCACGGATTCGGTCGAGGATGTGGTGTGTCGTCATCTGTTTCGTCGCCGTCGTCGTCGGTGCGATCAAGGAATGGTGACGAGTCCAACGACGAGTCTGAACTTGCGGTTGGGATGTCATCGTCGGCTACAAAGGTCGCGAGTTGACGGCTTCTACGGCGTGGACGTTTCTGGAGCGACAACAGGTAGTGCTTGGTGAATGGCAGACGAAAGAAGCACAATATGGAGCCCCACGCTAGCCCCACGGTCGCTAGCGCAACTAAAAAGTAGATGAACGCGCTGGTTTCGGCGTCGCCTTCGGTTGTCCATGGGGTGTACGGAGTGGTCGTTGAGGGAATTTGTTGCACTGGGTGCAGCCACGTAAGGACGAAGCTGCTCAACGAGACGAGAAACCCAGCCATGCTCTGACCAGTCATAACCGCCTGCGTGTAAATGCCAGGGAACAGCGCGGCGATTTCAAAAAGTCCTTCTTGCAAATACGCCGAGCAAATGGAAGCCACAACGATGCTGGAGATGGTGATGGCGAAGAATCGTGTGCCTACACGACGGTGGGTCAGAGTGATTGCAACGAGGAAGCGTAATGTACCCACAACAGTCGAACACTTGACGAGGATTGCCGTGACGAGCAGCACGATCGCGATGCCAGTCAAAGATACCATGATCTTTGTTCGAGGCCGGGGCAAGTACGGCCGCAGCCACGCTGCGTTCAGGGCCACCATGAACAACGTGGACAAGTTGAATGCGAGACTGAACCAGTTCAGAAACGATGCATGCACCGAGGTTTCCTTCAAGCGCTCGCCAAAGTAGCTGGCGGCTGTAATGAACACATTCCAGGGAAGCAAGGCACCGACGCCTTGGAGAAATAGGATGCCATACGCAGCATGGTATCGATCGGGCGGCGACAGAGACGCCATGTCCTTCGGGTCTCGTCAACCAAGATCGCAAACAAAATGATCCGGATAACCCCTCTCCCTTTTTCCGAAGGAGATAATTTTGCCTGCATGCTAAAAATAGATCGCAAAATGATGGAGACAGTGCACGGTCATTTTGTGAGTTTCGTCCTCGACCATCATGAGCCTGCCAGCTGCAGCGTGTCCAACGCCACCAGAAATCGAAGGATACCTATACAAGATGAAGCGCAAGTCTGGGATCAACCTAACGGGTAGCTGGAACAAGCGTTGGTTCTACGTGGACTCGAAGCGGAAGGAGTTTGGGTACGCTGCGTCCAACACACAGCCCATCATGAAGAGTGCGTCCCTTGATTCTACAACCAAACGCCACGGCCTACATTCATCTACTAACTTATCGATAGACTCCATATTTCTAGACGATATCACGGCCATCGTTGTCTTCGACGACTATTGCTTCCAAGTGGAGTCGAAGCACCGGAAATTCTTTCTCAAAGGTGAGAGCAAAGCCGGCGCGGCGGTGTGGGTCAAGACGCTCGAAGCGTACCGGTCGCAGTTTGTCGCGTACGAGAAGTACGTGGCGTCGACGCCGATTCACACGACGCCACCGCCAAAAGCAGCAGCAGCCGAGTCCAAGTCCAACAATGGCAGCTTTAGCAAATCGACACCGTCGTCGTTGCCATCGCAAACTCCTGCGGAGGCCAAGAAGGACAAGGCGGCGGCGCGCAAGACCAACCAGCGTGCTGACGAAAAGCAGAGCCAGCGGAGGGCGAAGGAGGCAAAGACATCTGACTCGTGTGACCACAGCACGCCCGTGCAGGCTTGGAGCTTGGACGACGACGACGACGACCAGGACGTCATGGACATCAATTAACTTTACTATATCTACGTTTCTTCTTCGTTGGACAGGTTTTCTTTTTCGTCACCACTTGACGCGTCATCATCACTGTTGTCATCATTGTCGTCACCCTCGTTGTCATCCTGCGGTGGGGTCGTTGGAGGGGCCGCTACTGGCGGGGACGGAACTGGCGGCGGCGCCACAACATCCTCGGGCAGCCTGGCTTTGTTCCGCCACACCGTCCACCGCTGCCTGACAAAGCGCATGGCCATCCCTTGTGCAAACCACTCCTTGTCTGTGTTGGACAGGGTGCCGCAGTCCTTGGACCGAGCTCGCAGTCGCGCGTACTCGTACTTGTACCAGCTGCAGAACTCGCCCACGTCAACGTCGCCAGACTTGTCGCTGTCCATCATGTCCACAACATCGTTCAACTCGTCTACTTGGAGGGGGATGCGCAGCTTTTGCATCATTGTTTTCGCATCGTCCCTGGTACATATTTTAACCCCACATGAGCATGTATAGCACATTGACGATTCAATTCAAGGTCGTCCCACCCCTGCCTGCAAACTGCACTATGCATTTACGTACGTACCGGGAGATCGAGCCCACGCCGGCGTAATCAAAGTACTCAAACAAGTCGCGCACTTCCTCGTCGACGCGGGCTTCCCACGGCAAACTGGCCCTCTCCTTGGCCATGTCTCTGAGTTTTTGGAGCAGCCGCTTTACTTCCGCATGGACCATTCCCTTTCCTCCCCCGTGATGCAAAAACTGCTCAAACGTGGCAGCCTCTCCGAACTCAGCTCCATCGGTCCCCACTTCGTTCAGTCCAAACCGAGCTTGGACCGCACGCATGTGCACCAACAACGCCTTGGTGGCAAAGGCCGGCTTTTTCTCGTGGCGCCTGCGATACCACCGCTGGATGCGACTTGCCGCGCGCCCTTCGCGCCTGGCCTGGACGTGCCATCGCGCCAGCGTTTGGCGGACAAAGCACTGCAACACTAGGGTGGCATGGTACGTCCGCCGGCGTCGGCGCACCTCGGCGACCGCCATCCGACATCGCGCGCGGCATTGAATACGGGTTGCAGCGAGGATCAGCGGCGTCCAAACGGCTTTCTCTTTGTCCGCATCAGCCTTGAGCCACTTGGAGATGACTTGAAGCAACAGCGTCGCATTCAGCAACGACCGGAACGCCGGCGACACGTCGAGCGCCAGCTCTAGGGGGGGCAAACTCTGACCAAGGAAGAATGCGCGACTACGAAACGCTGCAGTCCAGACCGTGGACTTTGTCGCTTGATTGAACGGATCTAACGAATGCAATTCAGACGCGACTTGCTTGGCAAGGAACAATTGCAGTGTCGCCTAGCCACACCCTTTCAACACACAATGGTCAACAAGGGACAGCAGGACGTACCCGTTTCGATCGTTGAAACTCGTCGTTCTTGTACCCACAACATAGCAACGCCCCACTCAGGATGGCGATAGCGTTGGCCGAACACGACGACTTGTTAACGACTTCCGCGTCCAAGTACAGTCGCACTTGCTGCTCGATCGCAAGGCGGGCAGACCCCAGGGCCACGTGGATTTGATGCCACCACGACGTCAAGAAGTAGCCCACGAATGGCTCGTCCCCCCGGGGGTTGGCCCAAAACGCGTCGTAAATCAACCGGCACGTGTCTGCCAGTGTCTCGCCCTCCATCATAAACTGCTCGACATGCACGGCATTGGTCGTCGTGATATCTAGAAGCAAATATTGGGTCGCTGGCAGTCGGCACGTCCACTCCCAGTGCTGCGAAGGAACTGGCGGCATATTATTCACAGGACGTGGTGGAGCTGCCGACGACGCGGCAAGGGATGGCGACGTGATCTGGGCGAGGTGGTCTTTCGCAGCCTGTTTTTTGGAAAACAAACTCGTGAATTTGCTGCTCGTCGGTTTCGGCGGTACTGGGCCTGACACTGGCGTCGAAATGGTAGCAGTCGTGACAGACAAGGGGGTTGTCGGGGGAATTGTCGACACAGGCAGCGTGTTGACGCCGGCAGCAGGGCCAGCGGTGGTCGAAACGCAAACCATCGCAGACTGCACGTCCGGCGTGGCGGACAACGCCGCGAGGCGGTGGGTTCGTTTTAATGTCTTTTTCAAGGCCACTCCAATAGGAAACTTGTCGGGGTTGGTGGCAAACATGACAGTAAACAACTCGCGAGGCTTTTGAGGTGGCGATGCCAGGTTGAGTGGTGAAGTCGACGAAGACACCACGACCATACCCTCCTTGGCATGCACAAAATCGTTGGCCCATTGCAGCGCTTCTGCGGCCAACGTACGCACGACCAACGCTTTGTACATATTCACGTACGCCACTTGAGCTATGTGCATGACAACGTTTAGAAAGCGGACGTCCCGCGGGGCGAACGGGCGGCCGGGCTTGCGGTACAAACAAAAGGCAACGCGAGGGGCGACAAAGAGACTGTCCAGCATGCCGGCGAAGCAGGGGAAGGCCCCTCGGGGCTCCAGGCCCGTGGTGGGGGCGCCAGCACTCCTCGCGTCGTCTAGTGTCCTGGGCACGTTGGTCATGGGCAGCATCAAGTCGTCCAAATGAACGTGGTCGCCGACAAGGGCCGGCATACAGTGGTGGCGGTAGCAAAAATGCACGGGCAGATGTTGCATCGGTCGTCGGGTGGGTGCTTTGTGCCAGCACAAGATGGAGCAATCCCCCGTAAAGTCGGCTGCCAACCGCACGATTTGCTGACAATGCACGTAGCCGACGTTGGTTTGTACGGCCAGCAACACCTGAGCGTACAGACACTGCATCGCGTGCCACGAAGGCATATTTGTCGACACGGCGGTGGCCGCCGCTTGAATGTGGGCCACACTCACAGCCACTCGTGTGGTCTCCAGTAGCTCCACATGGCACAATGCGCATTGCTTCAAAAAGTGCAACGTGGCAGGTTCAAGTTCATTTTTCACATTGAACGCCGTGGGGCCAAAGCTGTCGACGCCGATCATGCCACATGTGCTCAGCGGGAGGGCGCAATACGCCCGAATAGCCTTGCGCGCCGTACAAAAGCGCACGGCGCGACTGGTGTTGGTCAAGTGGTTGATCACCACTGGTTCTTGGGTCCGGATGCATTGAAAGCTAAACAACGACTCGTCGGACAACCGCACGCCGTGCATGAGACTGTCAGATGATGCAGCCGTAAACACCAACAAGTCGTTGAAGTCGCCACGGTGTGGATGGTAGTTGGCTTGCAGTTGGCCCAAGTAAACGTCGGTCCCTCGTCCAAGCGCGTCCGCCATCCAGTTGAGCCACGCGTCTTGTGTTAACCGCAGCTGGGACTCCGCCACGTCACTGCGCGTCTGTACGAGATCTTGTAATCCCATGTGCATGCGCGCAAGGCATTCGGCGCGGGCGACGGCGGCGGCCGCGCGCTGACTGGACAAGTGGAAGCACTCGGAGAGCAGCGGCTGCACCGTCTCAAGAACATGTAGGTCGTACGCCCACTGAACAGTTGGGAGGCGCGTGACCACCAGCCACGCATGCGTTTGGAGGTACGGATGCGACGGGTCGACCATTTCAAACGGACACACTAACGTCGACTCGTTGAGCTCAAATGGTGTCGCCTTGGTGTGTGTACAACTGGGGTACGTGGCAGCCCACGATGCGGACATGGGTAGTGCCAAGGAGTGTACGTCGCTAGCTTTGGAGAATTTGACTTCTGGTGCATGGTTGGCGTAAGTGTACCATACGTCGATGCGGATGGTCGCGGGTAGTGCAAACGCGACCAACGTCGCGACGGCGTTGAAAAGCACGGCAAAGGTAGAAGAGTTGCCGTGAAAAAGGCCTTTGATCGCATTGGTAAGCCCCCATAGTCGCTTGGCTTGAATGTGCGCCCCTACCGAGTTGGACAGCGACGACAAGCACGCGACGACGCCCGGCTCTGGGACGTTGGTCATGTACTTCCCCCCCGCAGGTCCAGGAAACGTGTCTACGGCTAGCACTCCCACGTACGGAATCGGCACGGCCACGTACACTCCCGTTTGAGTCGGATCAAAGCAATGCAGACCGTTGGGGTTTTTGGCAACGTCGGGGACGACCACGGGGTGCTGGCTTCGGAAGCATGCGGCACTCACCGACGTCGTCATGTTGATCGTCTTGCCTTGCATGGAGCTGGATGTCGTGGCGAGCGAAAAGTCCATGGACGAGCACCATGGCGCCACCAGCCCCACGTACGCACTCACACCGGAAAACGTGGCAGCCACCACGTCCAACAGTCGCTGTAGTACATGCCACTCGGAATGGCGGCCGTTGTCGCACACGATCATCATGTCATGGATGGCTCGGTCGCGCAATTGGGCTCGGAACCCGAGCGTTTGGGCGCGACTCGATCGCACGATGGTGTCTATCTCGGCCGCCATCCGCACGAGAAAGTCGACAATGCCCATTTCGGGGGCGGGGGATTCTCCGTACTCGGTCAAGTTGTCCACGGCTAACACGCCCAGAGTGCCAATGGGAACAGCTATGAACGGCCATTGGAAGGCTTTGGGGTCCCCAAAATGCCGAAGTTTATGCTTCCCGATAGTGGTGATGTCGTGTTGATTGATCATTACAACGGGGGCGCGGGATTCAATGCAGTGAAAACTCACGCCTTTGCCCATTTTCAAGTGTTTGCCCACCATGTGACTCCTACTCGACGCACATGTGTACGTAATCCGCTTTGCGGGGGGCTCTACCATGCCAATGTACACATTCGCCCCGGTCAATGTTGTGGCGATGGACTCGACGGCCCATGTTTGGACATCGGGTCGAATTTCCGCTTCCAGTTCGGCGAGGACGGACGCCAGGGGCACGTTCACCGCCCCGACTAGTCGACATTGCACTTGGAACGCTGCCAGCGCCGCCACCCGTTCGCGCACTCGGTCGTACCGGCCTTGTACGATGGTCAACAGCCCATTGAGAGTGTGTGCCAACGTGTCGAGAAAGCGGCCGTCGGAGTGACACAGCCACTCAGGCGTCGTCGTGTACGTCAGCGCCACGAGAGTTGTCGAGGTGCACAGGGCGGGGACCCACGACTGGACATATACCTGGTGGCCAAACACGATTTTGAACGCCGCGTCTATGGTTTTGTGAAGTTTCTGGTCGATCGGTACAGCCAGCGACCGGTCGCACAGCGTTGCGGTGTGGCCAGTCAAGACGGGCGACGATGCTGGTGTTTGTAGCCTGTCCATGACATCCTGCATGGTTCCGTCGTCCAGGTTAAAGTACCGCTGGAACGTGTGTAGAAGGGTTTCGGGGTATCGCACGTCGCGCAGGGCATCGACGTACTGCACGTTGAGGGGGTCCAAGTCGAAAGGACAGTCGAGGACGGTTGACACATGGCCCAATGGCTTATCAAATGCCACCAGTTTGGGCTTGAGCAGCCCCACAAAGCACGCTGTCATCGTATGCATCGTAGCTACATACAGATGAAGCGGGGACACGAACGCATTGTGGGCCATCGCTTCCAACTGATACAACGCGTACGCCCGCCGTTTCACGCGCAAGACAGCTGCGAGGCATTTGGCGGCGCATTCGAGGAACGGAACGACGCCCCATTCCGGATGCAGTTCGTCCGAGCGGCCCTTCTCAACGTCCACAAACCGTCGAATAGACACAAGGCCCACAAGCGAGTCTTCGTGCACCATGGGCAAGAAAACGAGTGGCAGCAGCTCGTCGTCGAGGCAGGAGGTTTGGTCGTGGTTAAAGCACCGGAGGCCAGCTGCGTCGCTCTCCCCCTCCAACGAACGGACGATCACCGGACGTGGGGGTTGCAAACACGAAACGGCCACGCCGCGACCTATGGTCGTGTGTGACTCTGCCAGCGTACACCCGTTAAACCCAAACGTAAACTGAACTGAGGTGCCGCCCGGCTGTAGTTCCGCGACGCCAACTTCCACGCCAGGTAAGCAGGACACGACCTCCGCCGCAATCGCGGTCACCAGGTCCATGACTGACCGCAACGCGTCGCTGGACGGCGACATGCTCAGCTGAGCAATGGCCTTGCGCATAACTTTCATTGAGTGGGCGCGGGCAGCGGTGCGGCGCTGGCGGCCCCGGACGCACACCAACGCTTCCTCCATCGTGGGTAGAATCAACTGGGACACAAAGTACAACGCATGCTCACGAGGCGAGGGGGTCGCCGGCTGGAACGTCAAGTCGAGCACGTACGTGAACTTGTCGGCGTCGTTGTCGAAGAACGTGTGCAGCCACTGGGACGGCACGTCGCCGTCGACAGTCGTCACAAAATCTGACTGTGATTCCAAACGAGTGAGCAACTTTTGCAAGTGAAAGTGTTGTGTGTTGAGGGGGCGGACGGGGAGAAGTTGTTGCAGTTGTGGCCACGACAGCTCTTCAGTAGACTGGTCAGACCAAGTAACTATGAATGGAGCCACCGCATCGCTAGAAGAAGGAGAACGATCCGTCATGCTGCCAATGCGCGTGATGTTGCCGCGCAGCATCGACGGTTTACCGCCTCCGTGTTCCTTGTACAATTGCATGCGTTTGATGCCTTTGTCGTATGCATTCACAAACGGAGCGATGCGGTCCAGGGGGATGTCACACGCCCCCAAGACGTGTACTTGAGTTGACGGGGGGAGCTTTCGATGGCCTTCCACGCGCCAAATGCTCACGGCACTCACGGTGAGAATGCAGTGCAAGATGGCTTGGATTGCCACGTTGTACACGTCGTATTGGGTGCTCAACCCGTCTTTAGTCACAGCCCCCAGCTTCCGGTGCCAGTCGCGGACGCGGGCGCGCGCAAACACTTTGCCGGCGCGGGTGGCCACTTCTTCCAAGAACGCCATCGACGGCGGTTCGTGCACAAACCACGTGGGCGGGTCGGGGAGGTGTAGGGGCACTCCGTCCCTTAAAGCCCCCACGAGTTCCAGCACCTTACTCCGACTCGCGACGCGGTGGATGCCCAAGGTAAACTCAACGTCAACGTCCGAGAGCGCGAGGAGCTTACCGCCGTCTATTCGGTGTTTTTGGAATGTTGCGACACAATCCGCTAGGCCATAGGCCACCAAGAAGGCCGCCACTTGAGCTACGGTCATAGCTGCAGCGGAATACTTCCATGCCATCCGAGATGCGTCGACAGCCAAGACGCCAATCACGTCAGAACTTCCTACATTGAGTTTTGGAGGGGATTCCTTGGCAGCTGATGTCGTGATCTTGCTTGTGTTAGATGTGGTAGCTGGTGTGACGTGGTTGTTATCTCTGGAGGGTGTAGCATGCTGTAGGGGATTGGACTCTTGGTCACGACGATGGCGGTTTCCCCGTCCGACAAGTGGAAAGCAAGCAAACGGGCCGCATCGATGGTCGCTGTAACACTTCACGACGGGATCGTGGGCAATATCTTCACACACGACTACTACCTACCGAAGTACCATGCATGTTAACCAATATAAAGTATGAATTCTGTCCTGCATGTCGACCACATGTTCACGAGGACGTACTTGGTTGTCCACGCTTTGAAAACTCACTCCTTCCGACGCAAGGAGTTGCTTGCCCATCATGCGGCTATGGGTGGAACAGGCGCTGTAAAGAAGATGCGTGCGTTTGGGCTGCACAAGAGCAATGTAGATGTCACACTGGCCATTCTTGAGACATTGCTGCACGAGTGAAACGACCTGACGCTGGAGTTGTAGCAGCGTCATGGACCCAGCCTTCGCCTCGACTTCGGCTAGTTTCACAAGAGCGCGTTCGTAGTACACTCTGGCACCGATCATGGCCTCGACATCGGCTGGGTACAAGTTCTCGCGTAGGTGTTGGTTCGTATGGAAGAAGAGCCGGGCACTGCGAGCATACCGAGCAGCCGTGACGGCATCGCTTGTGTTTGACGCATCGCGTTTGAAATCATGACGCAGCGACGGTGGAACGAAGAGGAGCCCATCGAGAATGCGCGTGTCTTCGATGTCTTGTGCGTGGGTCGATTGCAGCCGGGCTTCTTCCGCAAACAGGGTCGCGTCTTTCTCGGCCACGGTCGATGTCGGCATCGCAATGTTGAAGGGATCTTGGAATTATCCGGATATCATGACACGAGATTACAAAATGACTTGATATTTGTAGCAAATATAAAGGCGAAAAGTTTCGAATTCGAAAGGTCGCGATCTTTGGTGAATTTTTGCACTTAAGTGATCTACTAATTTCGCTGAAATTCAGTAAACGAGTGAAAGTTTGCGATGCATCATCCAAGTGGAAACATAGAGGTGATTTGGGACAGAGCAGTAACTCCCACTAGTATGGATATACGTATCACCCGTTAAGCTAGAATATGTCTACAAGTGTGAGCGTCCCATGCTTTATATCGATGTTCGCGTGTAGAGCTGGGCGAGCGGCCCAGTTCGAAGTACCGATTTTCCGGAGATTTGACCAATCATATCACTCCGAGTCGCCGGAATATTTTTTCTTTTGGCCCGGCCGTCAAATTCCTCAAGTGGTGTCCAGGTACCCTACACAACGAATACACAAATAATTCGACCAATAAGCGTTGAGTAACGTTAAAAATTTAATGTGACAATCAGTACTATTAGAGCCTGTTCCAAGTAGAATTCGAAAATCGCGAATACTGGGGTGACAAAATACTTTTTTCCCATTTTGTTGCCATTTTACGGCCATGATTGATTGGACATAAATCGTGTCCAGAAAATGCAAAGTGATTGGACAACATAGTATTGAACCAATGGCTTTCACTGGCTCCTGTGGCCAAGGTCCAAGCCGAGGTCCGTCGTTGCGCTTAACACCCAACGAGGTCGACCGTCAGATCTCTAGTCGCTACTTCAGCATCGCCAATCGCCTACACGTATGAGCTGGTGACTGCGCTCCCGCGCTGTGGTTATCTGTGTTCATGTCGACCCTCATTATTTAACCTCAGAGAGCGAAGGATCAATAATTGGCTGGTGAGGCGATAATTTCAGCCAGTAGTTTGGCGCGGCGATGGGTTTTGTACCCCATGAATGAGTTGGCGAGCGTTTTAATTGGATAATGCCCATTTTGAAAACTACTTGGAACAGGCTCTATTAGCACGTACGTACTTCGCCTTATTGACCCTTTTGGTCAATCTGCTTTGAACTGGCCTCAGTTACAGTACTTGAAATAACGTTACGAAACAATTTGTGCAAATAATCACGTTTGACTTGATTATTGTATGTGTTTGAACCTCCACACATGTCAATTGGACGGTTTCGATGACATGACGTGCATTTGGAGAGGGGTGACAAATGCACGACCAGAAGGTAATATATCACTCTATCACCATCTAGGAATAATTCGTTGGGCGTGGCTTTGTATCCTACTGTAGAGGCATTGTAAATTACAAACGACAAGGTTAAATAATGCCTGGACCAAATCGAGATTCACTATATCTGTGAATCTGTATACATGTCAACCGTCCGACAAAATACTTCACACAGCAAATTACTGTCTCGTAATGCACTTGATTAAAGTATGCCCAAGTTTAATTCGAATTCGGCTGGGTGGAGAGGTGCACTCAATTCGCACCTCAACGCCACCAAGAAGTGACCCTCGCTCGTTGTATCCTTCCGACTGTAGCAACTCACTGCAAACAGCCAACGCTACGAACTTCTTTACACGCCCGTCGCTAATCACCATGAACAGTGGCTACACAGAGCCATCGAAGGCTCGGAGCTCCATCGCGAGTCCGTCGAGCAGCGCGTCGAGTAGTAGCGCATCCAACGAACCCATCAAAGCTGGGTACCTGAGCAAGTACAACCGTGGCAAGTGGAACGCCAAGCGCAAATGGCGCCAGCGGTGGTTTGTGCTGGAGAACGGCGTGCTGATGTTCTTCAAGTCGGCGCCGTCGGCCAAGAGCAAAAAAAGGGCCGTGCCGCGCGACGTGTTCGCCCTCGGCCCATCGTCGAAGCTCATGTTTCCAAAGGATGAGCTCCCGTCCATCACACCGAGTCCGTTTTGCTTTGCAGTGACAGCCTCCGGCAGTGCGAAACACATCTTGCTCTGTGCCAGTTCCCAGCAAGAGTTCCGCGAATGGACCGCCCTGATCTCTGCGACGATCAATCCCGAGGCGCCGCCGGTCGTGCCGCCTACTCCCGTCTACGCCATGGAACAACTGCAAGTATACGACAACGTCATGCCTCCAACGAGTCCTATGTCACCGGCGAGGTCCACCTTGGATTCTCCGACCGTCGCCATCGGAGCGTGTTTGGTGCTGAACCCGTTCATGGTCTTGCACTTCGACCTCCTCGTCACGGCCATCGTGTTGCTCGCGGCACTTTGGTGCCTCTCGTTCCTCTTGACCCATCGATCTGTTACCTCATCGCAGATCAGCTCGTCCGTTCGATATCGAATGCCACCAACGTTACCTATCCAAACGCCGTCCTCGCTTCCTGAACCAGTGGTGGAGCCAACGCCAGGTTGGTTTAGTCGCCAGTTGTCGTACTTCTCTAAATATACATGGCTAAGTGATGTATCCCCACGTAGATGTATGCCATGTCAAGACACCCACGACCGTACACACTAGTGCAAGTCCTGTTGTGGGCTACGTGAATGGTCTGTAGTTTCCTCTACTGTTGAACACTTGATATATTGGCGGCAAAGTCATTGAATTCTGTCATTATTTAGGCAAGAAAGCATTCGCTGGGTGCTCGTTGACTGCTGTCTCCCCCGACGAAGCACATCATGCCACTGACAGCTGGACCCCCCTCGACGCGACTCTCTTCAACGTCCGCCGAGGTTTGATACCCCCATGATATTTCCGACCTTTCCAAATGGACAACTAGGACCCAACTACAAGAAGAACAAAATCAAGGCGCCGTCCGGCCCAGCGTTTCTCGAATTGGTGGCCACAGATGTATTTCGGGTATGTCATCGTCGACTGTCGCATATGACGTGATCATGTTACGATATATCAGTCGGATTTGAAAGTGGACAACATTGGGAGCAAGATTCAACTGCCCAGTGACGTGGACGGCCGGTACGACCCAGTATTGTTATCACGATAGACGACTGTTGTTAATGTGAGACACTGTAGCACGGACTTGATGATTTTGAACACCCAAGTGCCTTGTTATGCCCCTTCAAACCCCTTGGTACCAACCACCCTTTTTGTATCTATCGTGGGGTGCAATGTAATCATCCATTGCAGTGGGGAGATCACAAAACGGATGGCGTGGGGTTTAACTTTGTCATGTACTTTGCCATTCCCGAGGCCATTCGCGCTCAATTGGACGCAGCGGACGACCCGACCAACCCTCAACTACGGGTTCGTACATTCAACAGAAAAGTGCAATGTGACAACACGCCGGCGTCATCAAATCCCAACAACACGGATATATTGAACACCTCACGGTCGACATATAGTTGTTGAAGTGGTTTTTCGAAGAAGACAGTGCCGTGCGCGACCGCCTCAAAGCCATCGTGAGGGTGGCCAATCCTGCCGATCAAAAGCTGGGGCGAATGGTACAAATAAAATTTCAATATATATATATTTATCCTGCCCTTATACTTATGATGTTGTGTGGTTGGACGCGAGTAGGAGCGTACCCTCCTAGACACGTACAATGGCCAGCCCCTTATGACGCGGCCCGAGCACCGATTCTACCGCGGCGACGGGTACTTTGAAGTGGACATTGACGCACACCTGTTCAACTTCCTCGCGAGAAAGGGACTCACGGGCATCACACAGCACTTTGGCAACATGGTTGTCGACTTTGGCTTTGTCATGGAAGGCCAAGATGACGACGAGCTGCCGGAAAACGTGTTTGGAAGTGGCCGCATGTGCCGCGTGGACGTGAACGCGGCGCACCACTTGTCGTTTCGCTAGCAAAAATGACCCAATTATTACTTTATTTTTCGTCAGTGATGGGGATGTTGTTGGTTTGTGGGGATAACAAGGGGACAAGGCGGCGGCAGTAGTGTGGGAATACTACGTAGTACGTACGCAAACCGTCCTGGAAGCTGCCGGCCGCGTGTACTAGAAGCAATCGAAATTGATGCACTTGGTACTCCTCCAGACTACTACAGTATCGAACGGGCACTACAATCCGGGTTTGCTACTCGATCTCAATATACCAGAGTACAGTTGTACCCTGATTGAGTACACAATGAGCGACTGGAATTGGCACACGATGTCACAGATGGGTTCATTAGATGTCGTTTGAAAAACAAAACGTGGTGCAGTGACGGACAGCGGAAGGGGATGGACACATGATACAGAGAACAGGGTCACAAATGTGGATGTAAATACGGATGGTATATGTGTTATGCCAAGCGGGGGGCGTTCTTTAGGTCGACTTTGCACAGCCGTACGCATCCCAGAATCTGCTCGGGAACCTCGTCGTCGTCCTGGCCTTCCAAAACAAACCCAAAGTCGACAACCATGTTGCCAAAGTGGTCGGCCACGCCCGACAGCCCCTTGCGCGCCACAAAGTTGAACGTGTGTGCGTCGATGTCCACTTCAAAGTACCCGTCCCCGCGGTAGAACCGATGCTGGGGCCGCGTCAAGATGGGCTGGCCGTTGTACGTTTCGAGGAGATGCTTCTCCTATGCATGGCGTTCAAGTGGACATTTGGACAATCAACGTTGAAGTACCATGCGACCCAGATTTTGTTCCTCGGGGTTGACCACGATCCCAATTGCTTTTAACCGGTCCGTCTAACGGACAAGGTCCATGATCGCGATCAGTGTTTTGAGTGACTTAACAAGTTGAGTTGTACGTACGATAGGGTTCCCGTCTTGCAAGAAACCTCGAAGCAGCTGTTGTCATTGTGGTGAGCCCTCGTGGTGGTGCCACGTATTGGATAGATTATAACCTTAATCGACGGTTCCAGTTGGGTGGGGTCGTCCAGCTTGGCTCGAAGGGCCGGTGGAATGGCATAGTACGTGACAAAGTTGAAGCCGTCGCCGTCCGTCTTTTGCTCGCCCCACTGTCACAGCAAAGTCGTTAATTCACTTCAACACTCGTGTAATATGGAGGGGTATGGTATCGTAAGTACCAACGGATTCGACGGTGTGTAGCACGGCACTTGGCAGTTTATGATTACGATGTCCCGCCTACAGATCTCACATCATAAATAATTCAATCTTGTTTCATTTCAAACACTCCACAAGCAAACGCACCGGTAACCATCGAGGGGGGTTGGCAGGTGCACGACGCTTCCAATGTTGTCAATCTTCCCGTCCGACTAGCACTTTCACCGTCAGTCTAAGCCATTCATCCCCACCACCAACGAGACACCACCATGATCGATCGAACAACCATAAAAAATATTAAGTGTTACCCGATACGCGTCCGTGGCCACCAACGTCAAGAGCGCGGGGGCCGACGGGGCTTTGGCTTTCGTGCGGCGGTAGCTAGGACCTACGTCGATAATTATAAGGTTTCTTCGCATTGCATGGCATCAATGTACCTTTGCGTACGTTGAACCGCGTAGCGTCGAGTTGGGTCCAGCATCCAGACACGTGGGGAGCGGGAGCTGTGGGACACTCCTTCATCGAGCACCCCGCCACCGCCTTGGACCCTAGTTGGTCCCAGTTAATCCCTCGTTGTGTGCAGGAAAAGGGGGATTTTGGCGTACCGTTGACGGTCCCAGCCACCGGTTTCACGGGCGAAGCGACTGCAGCCGTCGGGGGAATGACCATTGTGTGGTTTTGGAGGGATGGGCGGACATCTTTGGGATGACGCCATAAAAGAGCCACATTAAGGACGATCACAGTGGCAAGTACGACGTGCCAACTGCCAAAGCGCAACACGGCTACGCAGGGCATTCATGTACAATCCGATGATCACGTCATCGTGAAAAATGATATGTATCTTCCATCGTGCCACAAACAACGTTTCCCCAGGTGTGAATCAGACGTACCGATGACAGAATTCACAGCCGCCAACGACCCCAGCGCAGTGCCCACATCCCCTGCCTGCAAGGAGCTCCAAAACCCTCCTAAAGAGGTGCAGGGGGACGTCGAGGGCTTGACCTTGGCATTCTAGACTCCACCACATCAATGGGTCAAAATCACAAACCATTTGTCAATGACATACCTTGCTTAGGGAAGACACTGTTGTGGCTCCAGTGGGCGAGTCATCAGAGTTAGAAGTCTCCATCAACTCATCGTATGTAGCGGATGCTACGGCCACCGCCATGGCGTCGTCAGTCACGTCATCTGGGTGGATCATACTGGACAATACGTTTGTCCACTCGCGAAGCTCGAGTTCCGAGTCGGCACAAACCAGTAACGACGAGCCGTTCACGGTCACCCCAAAGCAAAATGGGGTCGGCGTGCCACGCGGCAGATCCATTGGGATGGTCAGGAGGGCTCCACTTTGTTGAAGGGAGTACGTGCCATGAGGTGGCGACGACGACTGACGTCGGCTGGTCTTGGCGTATTTGTAATACAATAGCTCGCCATTCGAGTGCAGCTCAAACCAGCGCTGGTGCCACCGCCGCCGCTTCCACTTGCCCGTGCTAAGCTTACTCAAATACCCAGACTTCACGGGGCCACCTATGGCGAAGGAGCCATGGCATTGAGGATCCACGTCAGCGTCTAATGAAGTTGCGTGGGTGATCGCCGTTGTCTCTGCCGCACGTGTCGTTTGGTTCTTGTTACCGACACGGTCGTCATGCGGTGGACTAAACGTTGGACACAAAGTTTCGCGGTGATGCCGTCGCGACGATGCTCGACTGGTGGGGGACGACGAAGGGTCGCGTACAGCGGCAGCTGCTGCAAAAGACTCATTAGCGTCCGTGTTTTGCAAGTCATCGCCGTTGGCCACCACTTTGCGTGGCGACCTCGACAAGCTTCGCCTCATGACAACGACTGATAACAGATGCGGTTTAGCTGATACAAAATGAAACCCCTCGAGGTGTAATCACAGTTTCATGGAGGGTCGTATCCGGTAAATATCCGGTGACGTGACTACAGTACTTGAGGGCATGAAGGGCACTGTGAAAACCGGCAAATCGGTTCAACCTCCACAACGCTGAATAGTAAGTAGCTCGCAAATAGCACATCTGATCTAACGTGCATTGGGCATGCTTCGGGTGACTTTTGATCTACTACCGGTAGTGAGTTGTCGTGATACTGGTTACGTTTTTGTTTGGATATATGTAGTTATCGAGATTCACGCAGTAACATTATTTGTCGTTCATCTGAACCCGTCGTTAGACTGTCATGTTAATGCCTGGGTCGAGGGTAATGCAACGGGGCCCCTTACAAGGTGAATCGGAGGGTTGAAATATCTGGACATGTTGTCAACATTGGTCCACACAGATACACAAAACAAGTATACCTTGCTAAGCTGCTTCTAGGATAGTAACCTCCACCTCAACAAGAAAAACTCTCCTTTATTGGGTCACAGGAGGCAGTTTTTCACTCTTGGTGTTTTGGGTTAAGTGAGATGTGGTCTAACGTTATAGCTCGAACCACCGACATGTTTACGCATGTTGCCCCCCCCCATCCACAGAAATGAGTCGTTGAAACCAATGGTGCCTCTGGCCCCAACGTGCCCACGGGTATTATTTGTACACACCAAACATACCCACGGCAGCGATGAACGCGGTCGACGAGCCAGGGAGGATCCATTGGACACGGCTTGTGATGTGCTGTCGAGGGCTGCCGATCCCAAATACACCAAGAGCCCGCTAGGGTAGATATGGCCCACATTCAAGGCAAGCAGCGCCGGGATATGGACGCCGACATCCCCGCGTGTTATTGAGAGAAAGATTGACAATTAGAGAGGTTTCGCAACTAGTTTCGCAGCTACATCTTCCCTGGATGTGCACATTATGTTTATTATTAATACTCCCAGTATTGATTGTCAGACGACCAACATTCTGCATCGGTTTCCAATCAAGGAGCAAGGCCTTCGAAAAAAGAGTTTGGAATGACGCCACCGCTTGAGGTCCCGCCGCTACCGATGTCGCCGATGCAGTACATGCCGTCGCATCGGGACGTTGTGGGTGGTGTACTGGCAGTGGCTGCGTCGGTGGTGTCCAACTTTGGGGTGAACGTGCAGAAATATTCTCACACCCAAGAGCAGAAGAGGCCTGTGGCAGACCAGCGACCATACATCCTTCGACCAGTGTGGTGGGTGGGTCTCATCATGGTCATCGTGGGCAGCATTGGCGACTTTGCCGCGTTCGGGTTTGCCACGCAAGCCCTCGTGGCAGCCCTTGGTGGTGGGTCCACGCTCATCGCGAACGTCATCATTGCGAACCAGATGAACCAGGAGACGTTGTACCGGTCCGACTTGCTTGGCGTGCTGCTTGTCATTGCTGGCGTCGTGGTCATCTCCGCCATCTCCGAGCCCGACGTCACTTATCCGTTGCCCATCCTCGAGCAGTTCTTCGCCCGCCCAGGTACCATCCTCCTCCGCCACGTCGTCGCATCGTCCTCACGGCCACGTGCATGTAGAATTCATCGTGTACATTTCATGTGTCGTGATATGTGTGATCACCATCTTGGCCAAAATCAAGGGATCTCTTGCTCACACGTTGAAAAGCCAAATCCGATGGTCACACCAGCGGCAAAAGGACATCCTCAAGGTGCTGTACTAGTCCGCCTTGTAGTACGACGACTTTGTCCCTCTCACGTTTCAGGGTAGAAAAACGAGCTTCGGTTTCAAGACTTAGAGCGGCGCATGGAAGCACTGGAAGAAAAGCTGCTGGTTGGTGGTCTTGATCACGACGGTGGCAGCCACCCTCACGTGGCTGTCCCGCCATTTCGCCTCAACCATGCGGACGGCGCGTCGTCGTCACCTCGCAAGCTAGACGCGCCCGCCGCGGACGCCAACCCGTCGGCCGCCAACGTCCCATTCTACTACGCCACGTGCTCTGGCATTGTCGGCGCCATCTCGGTGCTGCTGGCCAAGTGCTCTGTGATGATGATCGCGCTGACCATCGAAGGCCACAATCAGTTCAAGAACCCCGTAACGTACTTGTTTGTGGGCGGCATGGTTGCGTGCATATTGGTCCAAACGCATCTGCTCAACATGGCCACGTCCTTGGGCGACACCATGACAGTGTTCCCCGTCTTCCAGGCGTTTTGGATCTCGTTTAGCGTCGTGGGCGGCATCGTGTTTTACGATTCCGAGCGAGCGTTTACATGGGATAAGTGGGTCTTGTACCCGCTGGCGCTGGCGCTGATCTCCCTTGGTGTGTACTGTTTGATGCAGCATCCGTCCAAGGGCCACGCCGCGCCCGACAAGCCAACCAAACGCACCAACGGAGACGACGACGACGACAATGGTGACAACCGCGCGTCACTGTTGGTGCAGTTTGAACTAGAGGCCGTGCCACTGACCAGTGCCGACGACGTCGATGCGTGCCTTACCACGTCCCCACTGCTGTCGTCGTCGTCGTCGCCAGTGTCATCCTCGTCAAAAAGCAAGAAAAAGACCAACGGCACCGATGGTTATGTTCGTTTAGACATTTAATATGGGTACTACAAATGGTCATGAACCGGTTCTATAAACTATTTTCATGTGTGCATCGCTTGGTTGAGGTTAGATTGTGTCATGATGACGTGGCAGTATGATAATGCGCAGTGCATACCTACAGTATGTATACTAACACGAAATGTCACAAATACTTGCTCCACCTGCAATTAAGACCCAATATGAGTAATCAGCGAATTTACATCTACATATGCAAAATCAAACTGCACATTCCTCATCAATGATATCGTCGAATGGTTTGAGAAGCTTTTCGTAACGTTAATATGTAAACGTTAACAGCAACAAAGTCGTCACGAACAACCAGCCCCTGTGGAACAACGATGAATGCAATAATTTGGATAAATAGTGTGATTGATGATTAGTTACATTACACTAGACTTGCACATATAACGGAGCGGATGACTGACTACTGACGCAGCAATTGGGCGTTGATCTTGGCTTCCATGCGTGCAAAGTCGCACGTGAGCTTTTCGATTTGCTCGGCGTGGACTCCGAGGGTCTGAGACATGGAGATCTGCTGGGTCGCCAGCTGCTGCTGTGTCAGCGTCGTTTGACTGAGCAGGTTCATGAGCAGGTTTTCCAGGTTGTTGCTGGAGCTGACCATGTCGGTAGCGTCTTGGTTGTCGGCCACCACCAGTTGGTGGTGGTGGTTCTGACTTGTCGGATGCTTTTGACTCGAGTGACTCGTCACGGCCGTGCGCAGGCTGTCGGTGCTGATGCTGCTACCGCGCGTGCTTCGCGTGGCGTCGCTGCTACTCCGCCGAGCAGCGTACTTCTCAACCCGATCTTCCTTGAGCACCAAGTGCTCCATCGCAACATTCGCCAGCTTTTCCAGCACCGACGCATCGCACGCGTCCCGCGGTGCTGTGTCCAGGACTAGCACGGTGCCGACCACAAGGCCCGTCCGGGCGTCGCAGATCGGCGCCGACGCATAAAACCGGACGCACGCCGCGCCGGTGACGAGGGGGTTGTGGCAGAATCTGACGTCGGCGGCGGTGTCCATCACCACGAGCGGCTCCTTGGACACGATGGCGTGCGCACAGAACGCCACGTTGCGCGGGATGGACGTCTGGGCGAGCCCGACGCTGGCCTTGAACCACTGGCGGTCGGCGTCTATGAAACTCACGGCGGCCATGGGGCAGTTGAGTCGCTTGCTGACGAGGTCGCAGATGTTGTCGAACACGGACGACGGCGGTGTGTCGAGGATGCGCAGGCTGGCGAGGGCGCGGAGCCGATCCGGTTCGTTCGCGGCGATCGGCGCGCGGGGCCACGGGTTGTCCCAGTTGTAGTCGAGCTCGTAGTCTAGCTGGTTGGTCGCGGAGTAGTCGTAGTACTCGGTCTCGGACCGTGCGGCGGGGGACGTGAGGTGGTTCGACAGCCAGTTACGCGATGCTTCGTCCGAGACCATGGTAACGTTTGTGGCGGACGCCAACGGAGATCCGAGTTTCTGAGCGCCGCTGACCATGACGATGCACGAGAGGCAGACGCGGACTTTGGTTGTACCGATGGACAAGATGTTCACGTTTTTGTACAAGGTGCAGTTGCGGCATACAACTTCGCCGCACATGCGGCAGTGGTGCTTTCGGCGAAATGTGCTAAAGTTGCGAGTGCATACGTGACACAACGATCGCTCGTAGTCGCAGACCCAATCGTCTGCGTGAACCAACTGGTCGACAACGAGGACGTCCTGGTTGGACGTGGTGGGTGCAGTCGTCGAGTTGGCTGGCGACGGGCGCATGGCGGTGTGTGTGATGTGTGGCGGGAGCTGTCTAAAATCAAACTGCGGCCATCGCTTCTTTACATGATCCATGTCATGGTGGTGGTGGATCATAGATCAGCAACTTTGGCTCCGATGAGGTGCTGCTGGTTGGATCCGCATTTCGGTTTTATTGCTTTGCCAGAATTTCGAACGACAATCAAATTTGGGTGTTTTGCCAAAGCGGCATCACGCTAAAACCAGATGTACTACGTAGTACCATATAAATAGGAAGTGCATGACGTGGCATCCTGCAAAATAAGACGTTAAACTCGACAGAATGTGGGTCGATTCGAAACCGTCGCACCTGACCGTGCATGAAGCCAGCGAATTATCGAACGCCGGACAGTCGTCGGTGCCACGTTTATGGGGTGATGCTGTCATGAGAAAGCGATCGCAAGGCAACACAGCATGAGACCAATTCTGCATGAGACTAGGTCCAGTACATAATTGACGTAATGGGATGTCAAATACTACGAAGTAGCTGGTGCTGCTTCAAGCCGTGCAATCGTCATGCAGGCTACACTCGTCAAAGCTGTGACTTTGGCACACTACGGTACATATGGGGGCGCTCGTCGTGTGGTTCGAACGTTAATAGCGTGAGTGGTTGCTGCACCGAAACGGGGTCTCAGGGTTTGCCTGGTAGAAACGACATGCCGCCGCCACCGAGCATACAGGAATAACGGCCTTTGCTTTGGATTATGTGACTACGCTATGCTACAGAGAGCAAGCAGCAAGCGCTTAGAGATGGCTGCTTCTCTGCCGTCCATTCCAAGTCAAACGACGAGATGTGGTAGGTTCAACCAGCCCAAACCAATGTTGATCTGTCGTCGTCAGCAGCGTCTCCAAATGCCTTTATATATGTCTAGCTCCGAAACGACATTGCACATTGTTGGTTGGATTCGTGTAGTACGCAATACATAGATTGTTTATGGCATAAGCTGGAGTTTTCATTGGCCGAGGATTTTCACGAGGGCTGTCTTTTGTAACGAGGTCAGGTACTTTGGAAAGACGATGTGAAACTTGAGGATCAGGTTGCCTCGCACACCTTCGCCACTGTCTTGTGGCCCCTCCGCTACCACGGGCATGCCTTCGCCTTGGATTACCTTTTCTGACGTTGGACTGAGCACTTCGTTGCACGAAATGGCCAGCTTGCGCCCGTCCAGCGTCGGCACGTCCACCGTGCAGTCGGCAAGCGCGTCTGCCAGCTTCACCTTGGCCAAGTACACCAAGTCGTTCTTCACGCGGGTGTACGTGGCGTGCTTGGCTTCGACGATCGTAAACACGACGTCGCCTGCCCGCAGCTCCTTGGTTTCGGCCCCTTCATTCTCGAACGTGACCTTGGTGCCCGCGGACCACCCGCGCTGCACTTTGACTGCAAACACCTTGGTGTCATCCACGAGGTCGTTGTTCCCCATGAACCGCGTGCGCACGATCGTGATCTTCTTGGTCACGCCCCCGACAAACAGCTCCTCGAGCGTGCACTCGACCGTCTTTTCAATCGGCGGGTTCTTCTCCAGCCCCTTCTTCTTGAGCGCCCCCGCAAACGGCAACGTATCCCCAAAACCAAAGTCGCTAAACGGGTTGTTCGTGCCGAAGAATTTGTTGAAAATCTCCTCGCCCTGCCGGTCCTGAAACTGGTACCCTTCCCGGACGTCGCCATCGGCGTTGGGCACGCCATTGTGCAGCCCTTCGTACCCGTACTGGTCAAAGGTCGCCCTTTTCGCCGGATCGCTCAGCACGTCGTACGCTTCCGAGATCTCGTGGAACTTGGCTTGGGCTTCGTCACGGTTTGATTTGTTCTTGTCCGGGTGCCATTTCATCGCGAGTTTGCGGTACGCCTTTTTAATGTCTTGGTCGGTCGCCCCCCGGACGATACCGAGAATCTCGTAGTAGTCCATGCTGTCGAATCGTGTGTGTGTTTCTGCGGGGTCTAGCTGACGACGTGCTGCGAGGTGGGGTGTGCAGTGGAGAGTCGACGACTGCGTTTCAGTGCTCGGGTTGGGTGATCGGCAGTTACGTCGGTTACTAAAAATAGTCGACTTCTCGTAACGCCATGACTGTAGAAAGTGCAAAGTGACTAGTATCCTTTCCTTGGCCATGCAAAGGTTATGGTGCCATCCCGCGCCATCACATATACTACTGTATATATATCCCTCTTCCAATATAAATACACGTGTACTACGAATGTAGAAGGGTACATGTAAAGTGGAACCAAAGTTCAATTCCGAGATTATTCTATCTGTCGAGCCTTCAGCCCCGTCATTCTTCTATCGGTAACTATTGCGGCCAAGTTAGTCAACGACCAAGTTCCCCCCCCATCCAATCCATCCCAAGCAAGTCGAAGTCGCGTGTCTAGTACATGTGATTTCTCGACATGTATTATTAAAACTGGTCAAACAGCATGAGCATGCGGTCGAGGTGCAAGGTGGCGCGGTCGAGGCGGTCCAGCGATCGGCTAACGCGGTCAAACTTGTCCAAGTCGTTTTGCTCCACCAGTTGGTCGGAGCGGGCGATGAGGTCCTTGTGGCTCTCGGCTTCGTCCTTGCGCCGGGTACGGAGCTTCACAATCGACTCTTGTGCGCGCTCGACGAGGCGCCGTGTGAGACGGATGTCGTCCACGGACCAGCAGTACAACGTGAACTGGGGGTTGTAGTCGGTCCGTTTGGGGATTTCCTGCAGGTTCAGTAGCTTGTCGCGGTACATGTCAAACAGTCGGCTGCGGGTCTCGGCGGCCGGCAGCAGCGCCATTTCCCCCAGCGCCTTTTGCTCGAGTTGGCGCTGCTCCGTGATCACCCGCACGAGACGGGCGCTGGCGGCGCCGTACTTTTCGTGCACAAACGCTTGAATCGACTTGCGCTGGAGGGTCTTGACGATGTTCTGCATGTGCACCGAGTACGTGCCACCGTCGCCGGCGCGCACCGCGTGCGTCGGATCAAACACTTCTGCCGCGACTTTGGTCACCATTCCGGACGGGTGCTGGCACATGGCCGTGAGGAAGTTGAGGAGCATCTTCCACCGGTCGTGCTTGGACGGCACGGCGTCATATACGGCCGGGATCGCAAGCAAGTCCCGCGCGGTCATCGGCACGGACGTCGCTTCGTTCGCGTCGCGCTCGTGCGGCGACGAGTGCGCGAGCATGGCCTTCACAATGGCCTCGGCCACGACGTTGACGCTATCGTGGGCAAACTGGATGCACGTCCGATGGCGCAGTTCGCGTGTGAGCTGGACGCCTCCATACCGCCAAATCGTGTTTTCTTCCTTTAACGACACGTCTTCACCCACGGAGTCGAACGGCATCGAGTCGTTGGACAACGGGGATGACGACGACGACGAGGCGGCGCCGACGGCGGGCAGCTTGGCGCGCTTGAGGCGGCGGCGCTTGGTGCCCGACTCAGACGTGACGGCCTCGGAAACTTCGTCGGCCAACGACGACGACAAGCCACCGTTCTCTGCTTGCATCATGAGTTGGACTTCGATGGGCACGGCGGAATCGGCGGCGGCATTCGCGGGGCCTTTTCGCTTCTTGTGCTTGATGGTGGTCGTGGAGGTCGAGTCCCCGCCCGTGGATGTGACGGACGACGACGATGGGATCTCGTATTGCGCTTCGCCGTCGTCAAAGTCGTGCGCCTTCTTTTTGTTAAAGTCGAGTGGATGCACGCGCAAAATGTACCGACTTTTGGCCATATTTAGAAATGTGGTTTTGAGCGATTCTTTCAGGTCTTCCAGTTCGTCGTCGTCGGCTACCCCATTGAAAATATATAAATATATATAATATTGCAGAAATATAGCAAGAATGGCAGCATGACATTTGAAAAGAGTATGTTATACAAGGCACAAGTTGATGTACCAGCAGGTGCGTCGGGGTCGCCCGTGGCGGCGCGTCGCTGGTCGGCCAAATTCCGTGCCATGGCGTCCAACGACTGGTCGAGGCGGATGCGGCCGTTCACAAGCAGCTCTTCCATGATGACTTCGCCCTAGGACAGCACGCGTTGGCTGGAGGGTACAACGACGTCATGAACGTTACCTCGTCCCCAAAAAGTTCGCGCGCCAATTCGATGTACCGCGCGAACCGAAGACGAAGCAGCGCTTCGTCGTGGTTCAATTCGTATCGGACGATGTACGGAAGCTTCTGCTTCTTCGCCGAGTCTGCTGGAAGCCATGTTGCCTTGATGTCCAGCAAGTTGTGTTGGAGCAGTTTCAGCAACGCTGTCTTGATGTGTTGGGTGGTTGGACGCGGCTGCAGGTGCGCCGGTGGCGACACCAATGCGTGCTGAACGAGTTCTCTCAACGTATATCCTCCATCATCTGCCCTTAGGAGAACGGAAGCAACATGCTCGACAACATCTCCAAAGTGTTCCTGTAGGAGGTTGAGAGCAAGGCGGCGCCGCGGCGGCGGCACGATCATGGCCTGTGGATCAATCTGCGATGGCCACGAAGCGTTGATTGGCTGTTGCGAACAACAGTAAAATGTATGGGTCCCCCCATAAAAGTATATAATTAATCTATGGTTCACAATCAGCAAATACTATACAAAGACTAGATTAAAGGGAAATACTTCGGCGTCGAATATTTAAAACATGTGATCGTTTAACTAACATACAATTATCAAGTGATACGATGCGGTTTTCCGAATATTATAATGTCATTTCCATGGAACGACTGGTTTCACGACGGTGGGTGAAAATAATATATACACAATTAAACTTGATTTGATTCCATTATCCAATACAATAAATTGCTGGCGCCAGTCATATCCTTTGCGTTGACAGAATAGTCGCGTGAGTCACGTTGAAACCACACCTACGAGTCGCGATGAAGGTACGATGTGCCACGTCGCCGGCATCGCCATGCGACCCCCTTCGTCATGCCTCCATGGTTTGTGTGTAGAAGTGCATTGTCCTCGTCTCAAGACAGAGCTTCTCTGCGGAACACAAGAGCAACAGCGCGTCGCTGGAGGCAATCTTTAACGCCAAGAAGATCAAGCGCGAAGAAGTCGATGGATCGGCCGAGGAAAACACACAACTGCGCAACGACCTCTTCTCCATCAGCGGGATCCGCGGCACGTACCCGCAAGTGTTCTTCCAGGTCGAAGGGTCGAACACCCCTCAATTCGTCGGACTTTTTGACGCGATCCAAGTACGTTCATGTTGCTTGCGTTGCAGACTCAGCACTACTCACGTGCATACTGTACTGACACCGTATGTGTCACAGGAAATGAACGAAATGAACGACTTGCCAGCCGATTTTATCCGACAGAACAACGTCGCGACCTTTGACTCTGTCTTTGCCGGTATGTCGGCGCGGCCATTCCATAACTCCATGGCGCGTTGTCTCATGTTGCGTGTCTGCTAGATGTCGAGCGAGTCTAAGTGTCGTCATCGATACACATCCATCATGACTCAGCACTGCCTTCCTTGCAGCGGCGGCGGCGACCCTACAGTAGATTCATCACCCTTAGTAACCCCGCATAACTATTATGTATTCGACATCGATGTCGTCGACTGTGCGATGGCTCTGGCACGTGGCCTTCTTCACGTCGCGACTCTTGTGAAGTCTACATCAAGAGAATAGCCATCCATCATGTCCATGCAACTTCTACCTCATATCTGACCGTCAATATAAAATAGAAGTGGATATAAGATCCATAATGAGCGTTATATAAACTAAACCTCGACATTTAAATTTGTGAAAACAACGTGTTTTAAACTACAAGTTGGTATTTTAAACAGGTCGGACAACATTTTTGAATCCACCGATTGATATCGATCGATCCATGTCCGCTTACACGAAGGCCGTCGGCGGGAAGCTGCAGCTGAAGGGAGGCCTTAACTTGTCACTCAAGTAAAGAGGATAGACCTACGTGAAAAGGGTCATGCAAGTGTGTTGAATGGTTGTGTGTGTGCTTGCTTCTAGGAAGAAGAAAACGAAAAAACGAAAGGCCGAGTCGGACGGTCGTCCCGCGACCGGCGACGATGACGACGACTTCCAGCTCGTGAAGCTCCAGGGTACAGGACGTATTCTCACATCTGGCACGACAGTGATGGGCAAAATGGGCACGAAATTCTACCACGAGCTGTCGATTGGAGACGCGTTGATCATTATGCATCCGACGTCGATGAAGGAAGAAACGCGCATTGTCAAGATGGTGCTCAGCGACGTGTCCATTTCCATCAGGTATGAATCGTTGCAACCAGGAACGTTGACCCATTATCGTGTCTGCAGTTCGCCATTCAGTTCCGATTTGGTCTCCACGACCACGTTCTCGTACATCAAAGCCCCACCAGAGGAAATCGACCAGGATGCCATCGAGGTACATAGATTCCACTCTCATTCAACACCATCGCTCATCTCACAGTGCACTTCCTCTAGACCAAGAAACGAAGCAAGAAGAACGAAGAAGAAACGTTTGCCTTCGGCACGTACGCCGGTGGCACGAGCGCCGGCTCGGAGTTCACGTACCGCGTCAAAAAGGCCGGGGCGTACGGTGGCTACGCCGTCCTCAAAGAGGTAACGCATCCATCCATCCCCCCATTCATCCATCCATCCTTGTCTCTCCGACGTGGCTAATGCGATCGACGAATCCGTAGACGGCGGACGCGAACCGGTCGCGGGAAGACTTGTTGGACATTCGCAGCAAGCGAAAAGGAGACCGACATTGCAATTAAAGATCGTATTTTTCTCCATATTGAAAACAATCGACGAGAAAGTTATAGTTTTCGCTTCAACAGGCCCGCGAAAAAGTCAAACGAGTTGCCGTCGGGGTACAGTTCGTACGACCGACCGCTTTCGCTCGTGGCCAAGAGGCACCCCGATGCCGTGAGGCCTAGTGTTGCCATCAATCAGCGTGTACTCGTTTATTTATCGTACTCGTGCACTCGATACAGGATAAACACACACATATATATGCAAATACGTAGTATACATGTTGTCGATTTGATACAAATTTGGGGAGGGGGTACAATCGAATCGCGCCAACCAAACTGATCCACAATCGATCTGATTGGTTGAATTTCTTTGAGAAATGGGTTTTGATTGGCTAATAATTTTGAGCTCATCTGAAGTAGCCAATCAAATCGATTTAAATTCCAACGAGAAACCACACCACGACACGAAAATTCACTCGAAAGCACGATACATTTTGTTCACACAATCCTGTCGTCATCTCCAGGATAAAATGGATGCACATGTACGACAAATACCATAATGGGCATGGGATGATCATCCAGCAACATTTTTATCGTCCTCGTGCATCCAATAATAATAATAATACTAAGGTCCCAACACATCAGTACACTTTTTGTCGTTGAAATAGAATTGTCCAGCTTTTAGTATACCATCATAGAATGGTCTTTCAATCGATGGCGCAAAGTAATTTAAAAGGATGGGGGTACACGAGTACGACAAATAATCATGGCCGAGGTTTGTGATTGAACTATTAATAGAATTGTACGGTTCCTTTTATCATATCGTATGCATCGTCGAATAAATAGGTCTATTATCATACTCCTCCACCATTCACAAGGATTGGGAGTACATGAATAGGACAAATACGACACTAATTGTCATATGTTGGTACCTTGAATCGTGGCCTTCATCGGTGGTTCGCCGGGCGTGTCGCCCTGGACCTGCACCACTTGGTTTGTGTGCAGCCAGTTCGCCGTGTACTCGTCTACGAACGGCGCGAACCCGTGGCTCTTGAACTGCTCCTCCATCGGCTCGTACACGTTGCAAAACTCGACGAGGAATGTCTCCCTACATCATCGCACATTGAACACTCAGTCGTCGTTGTCTCTGTGGTCGAGACATCCTAACGACCCCTACTTGGTGACAGGGGACGGGAGCAACTGGTTCAAACAGACGGTCGGCTCAGGGTTGCTCACGTTGATGCCGACGCCTACACACATACTTGCGCACTCAAGACGATGCATTGCGGCACACGAAGTACCTGTGGTCACATGGAAGCGCTCTTGAAAGTACTCGGACTGGCACAAGATCCCGCCAAGCTTGAGGTTGTTGGCGTACAGGTCGTTGGGCCATTTGATGTACACGTTCGTGGGAGTTGATGCGGCGGCAAACGACTTGATTGTGCGCACTAGCGCGAGGGAGACGAGGTATTGAGCAAACGGCAAGCTCGCGCCATTGGTGAGAGAGCTTTGGAAGGAAAACGTCAAGCAGCCTTGAGGAGACACCCATGTGTTCGACCCACGCCCTTTGCCGCCTTGCTGGGACGGCGTCCAGCACACCAAGCGAAAGTCACGCTGCACGTCTGTCAATCGCAATTCAAGAGACACTTTTTGCAACAGGGTTTGTGTCGACGGGAGAGTCTCGCCATACAAGATGTGCCGTCCGAGGTGTTGGGTGCGCAACTTGGTCAAGGGCAGGATTGTGTCATTGTTGGACGACGATGGCGTTTGGACGTGGGCAGACAATGCCCAGGACTGAATTGTCGCAGGTAGGTCTGACGCGGACAGAAGCTGCATCGCGGTATTGTCGGCGGCACTCATGAAGGCAGCTGCTGGATGTCGAAGGCGCTGGAACGAGGACCGAGCTAGGTCGAGGAGCATTCGCCAATCTGGGTCAACAAGTACGGATAACATCATGCCGTACTTAGGAAAGCACATGGATAAAGTTCCGGATAATAAGTGTGACTTTTGTGCTATGTTACATTTGTTATAACATCAAGATCCACACGAAGCCTTGTGCTATGTTACATTTGTTATAACATCAAGATCCACACGAGCCTTGTGCTATGTTACATTTGTTATAACATCAAGATCCACACGGCCTTGGACTCTGCTGTTGGCATGGGTGGGACAACGTTTGAGATGCGTCAATGCCGCTTCGTGTTCTGTGGCGCCGAAGACGACGAGCCGTTCAGCGTCTTGCTCCCAGTGGAGCCGGCCCCGACCCTCCAAGTCGTGCGCAGCCATTTCCCGTTTGAAGGCCGCTTCCACTTCCGCCTCCAGGAAGTCACGTCCGGCGGCAACTACGTATGGCGTGACCTTGTGGATGAGTCTACAGTCATTCCAATCGACGCGCTATTGAAGGTACTGCAAGTGTCGTCGACGCCAGAAGAGTACCCGGTATATAGCTCGCAGGTGGACAACACCAACGAGCTCGAGTCGTTCCAGCGGAGTTTTCGCGAGTCCTATGACGACAGCGCGTGCTCTGGCGACCACGAACGCTCGTCCAAGGGCTCCAACAAGCAACCTCAGCAGCAATCATCTTCCGCCGCCCCGCAACTCAACGCGCTGTGGAAGAACACCAAGCACCACCTCAACAAAACCACCGCCAAGGTGTGGGAAACCGTCGAGTTCACGGCGGGGCGGTACTTTGGCTCTCAATCCGGCGCCGAGAAGCCGACTGCAGCGGCGTTGCAAAACTTGGCCGCGGCCTCGGCGCTGTCCCGCACGCCTTTTTCCGACTCGAACCGCGACCACATGGACCAGATCCGGCGGTTGTGGGGCGCGGTCGTTGGCGACTCTGGTCGGCCGTTCGCGAGGACGTCGCCTGTGTGGGTGGACGAAGGGGGGTTTCCGTCCGACGACCCCGGCGCTACCTTCAAGGCACACGGGGTGCTGGCGTTGCATGCGCTGGCGTTCTTCACGGACGTCCACCGCAGTGCGTCGGACGAGATGCGACGCGGCGGGTACGCGTATGCGACAGAGGGGCTGCAGGTCGTGTCGATCCTGGTGGAGGTGCTAGATTTGGACTCGGGGCGGTTCCTCGAACGCGACGAAGTGTACTGGAAAGTGTTTGAAGACCCTATCGGGTGGTACGAACTGTTTTCCGTTGCGTTTCACGCCCACCATACGTTTTGGCGCCAACAAGGCAAGGGAGCTAGTAGCACTAGTACTAGTAGTACTAGTACCCGCGATCGCAGCTTTCAGCCGTCGCCGCTCGACTTGACCAAGCAGTTTGTGTGCCGCCTACTCATGCAAGCCCCCAAGACCGTCCAAGACGTTGTGACGTTGGCCGACACCATATATTAACACTTTAATTTGACTAACGCATACTAGTATCAAGTTGCGTGTCAAGCGTCGCTGTTCTTGCGACGGCGGCGACTCGTCGGCCCTGGCGAACTGCTCGCCGCCGGCGTGTCCGTCACGGCAGCCTCGTCGGCTCCTCCGTCAAAGGTCCTTAAGTGTGGCACGTTGGTCGAGTGTAGCGGAGAGGACGGTGGTGCGGCTGGGGCAACGACAACGTCGCCAATCGTCGAAGCAACCACGGAGGGGGGTGCGTTCTCCTCGGAGTAATCTGCATCGCTGAGGGTGGGGGTGATGTTGTCATTTGGAGCGTTGCTGGGTGGGGTCACAACTACGTCGATCATCGCAACCACCTCTTGCTTTGGTTGGTCTTCACCGTCAACAACCTCTGTCGACGACGGGATCGTATGAGTGATTGGCACTGTTTGGACGTCCATAGAAGGTTCTTGCAAGTAGTCGCTCTCGTTCCCTTGCTCCGTCACATGATAGTGGTCTGCCTTGCTTTCGTCCACGTTATGGTGTTCGTTGTGGGTGGTAATTATGTCGGCGCCACCGTCCACGGGGGGGTCGGCAGGAAGGGGGGGGGTGGTAGGAAGAGGGGGGGGCGCAGAAAAGATCGAGTTGGACGCGTACACACATGCGCGAATGCACTGTTGCAGCGTCGGCGCGTCGGTGGAGTCAAACGCAGCGGCATGGGGTTGTTGCCACCGTCGCTGCAGGGTCGCGAGGACCGCTCGGCGTTTCGATGGGGTGTCAATAAGCGCATACAACGACGAGTGCTTGATCTCGTCCATCTAGCATAGCCACCAATGAAATCTACCACAATACATATATATATATATCACGTGTCATGCACTCGTGACGTGAGCATGTGGGGGGATGTGTGTGTGCTTGCTTGGATGACATACCACACTGTCGTGCCGAATGTGTCGAATGGACTGGCCCATCCCAACGTAATACAGAATCCCGCCCGACGTTGTCGCGCAAAACAAGACGTCGCCGCCGCCCCTGTCGGTCGCCGACACAAACGACCCTGATTGACGTTATATTGTCGATTCGAAATTGTGGAGTGTACAGAATCACCAAATCGGCAAACAATTGATATACGACCAATCAAAACCCACAACACTAGTCAAGTAGCCAATCAAATCCACTTATCCGACCATGAATTATTAGTGTGTGAATCCAATTCGTGTAACACTTCGCATGATTTTACATACAAACGTCAAGACAACGAATATCAATCGATAGATTTGGCGAAATTTAGCAATCAAATTTTGGGCAAAAGAAATACAATATATATAAACACCAACGAACGGTCCTACCTGAAAAGAAGGCGGAAATGCTAAACGGAATCGTAAACTTGAGCTGCGACCCGGCCGTGTTGACAATAAACACGTCTCCATTCCAGCAACACAGCATCACTTCTTCGTCTCCATCTTGAAACAAGTTGATTGTCGCCATGGTCAGCAACGCATCGGGCAGCTACACACATGTGTGACGTGGTGACGAGGTCGCCATGTCACATACCTGAATACTCCACCGGAGCTGGCCCGTGCCAGCATCTTTGAGCTTGACGTGGCCGTCAAAGTACCCGAACGCATCGCACGAGGACGCCACGTCTTTGGCTTTGACCCCACTCAGCACGTACGCGCGACCGCACTGCAAACTGTCGCCATGCTCGAGCACCATCGACGACGAGGGGGTTACATGGAGGACATCCCCCGTGTGCAAACAGACGAGCAGCGAGTGTTCGATGTCTGGATCGTCAGGGGATGACATATCAGGTGAGGACGAGCGATTGTTGTCTTGGACAGTGTCGACGGAGTTGTGCTGGCTTGGAAGGAACGATTCCACCTACCACGACAACGATCCACAGGTTTTCGATGAAAGATATGCGATATGGTTACTTCGCCAGGAAGGTGGTGTGTGTGGACTTCCTTGGCAGCCTCCACCTACTACACGTCATCACACACTCGAATATGCGACCGAGTTTACGAGTGTACGTACGTTTGAAATGTCCACGAAATGAACAGTCGAGTCCCGAGTACCCAGCACAAGCAGCGACGGACCCAACATGGCGGCTGCGCTCACGTTCAACGGGATGGCCTACAGGTGGTGGTGGTGGTCACATTCGAAACCCATGACGAACAACTCTGTTTCGTACAAATTGCGTGTGCATGTGCAACGTCAGGGTGCCGAGACTTGACTCGACGGCGCGGCGCAAGACAAAGCACGTGCCTTCCGCGGTCATGACGAGAATCAACAGAGACATCACGGACGAGACGGTAGCTGGGGAAGTTGTCGTCGGGGGTTCGTCGTCAGGGGAAGGATGGGCCATCGATGCCGCAATCTGGATCATCCCATGGTGGCAACAAGTCAAGATAGAGCATAGAAGGGGAAGGACGACATCACGAACCGGTTGTGTGACGATGGACGTGATGCAGCCGTCCACAGTGTACGTGCATGCGCTGTCGCACGACGACAGACCCTAGCCAGGATGTGTCACTCGATCGATCACATGGCTTTGGCATATTCGTTGAGGCAGCAGAGCTATACCTTGAATATCGCCAGTTTGCCCGACATGGAACCCACAATCAACTCGCGGTCGCCGCCGACAGTGTCGACGTCGTCGGCGAATGTGTGCGCATTGGGCATGATTTTGCCTTCAAAATTGAGCAGCCCTGACGGAACCAGACATACCTACGATGACACAGCAGCAGGGCTCTCAGCATGCTCTGGTATGGCCCTCAAGACGAGGCAGAAGGACGAAGCCAGCATGCGTACCGATCGGACTGCCGCGCTCATCGCAAATGGAACTGGTCAAATTATCCGGACAAACCGGATATCCACCAAGTTGAAGACATGATGAACTAATTCGAAAAGCTGGATTACCAGCAAGACAACACCGTGAACTGTAAACGCCAAGAACATGTATTCAATGTGTCATGCGTCGATGACGTATTCGGTCGGGGCACCTTCCGCCAGCTTTTGTCGACTGTTGAGATCCGTCATGTGTGTGAATGCCGGCTTGGAGATGCCCTTCCACGGAGCTGCGACGAGAAGTGTGAACCGACATCCGCAGGCCACTACACCACGATCAATCTCATCATGTACGACATCGATATGTGTACCTGACGTGACGGGGCCATAGCCCCATGCTTTGACTTTGGCCACGACATCAGGCTCATACGAATCGGTTTCTGACGTGAACCGCCCGAGACACCCCGACGAGTTCCTGCCCCATGTGAACACCGATCCGTCTTCGGCCAGCGCGCAAGAATGATATGACGACGCTTTCACGTCAATGCACTTCATCTTGCGTTTTATCAGCTCGGGGATCTTAGCTATGCACCATCATGAGGTCACCACCATCCTCGTTCCATTGGCCAACATGAATGAGGTAGTCTTACTTGGCAGCAGGGCTTGCTTTTGCTTGCCCAAGCCCAGCTAAAACATAACACATACATCCACGTCATTGATGTCTCACATTGCGGTTCTTCTTCATTCTCTGCGGAGTTGATGAAAAGTCACAACATACCTGACCATTGAGACCACTGCCAAATGCATAAGCCCACCCAGAAGCGGAGGTAGCATTGCCGGCACCATGGCTCGCGACTTGTCGAGGCGCTGCAATGCACAGCGTGTGCCAGTTGCTGCAGCACACTTGCAGCACACGCTCGTTGTCGAGCGCCCGCACCAGCGTTGGACTGAGCATGTCGGCGTTCGATCCCATGCCGAGTCGTCCGCCGTCGCCGCAGCCAAACATGAACAGCTGGCCCGTGGCCGCGATGAGCCCCGAGTGTGCCGCTCCGCACGACACGTGGGCCACTCGCACTGGGATCTCGAGCAATGTCGGGGACGGAAAGCACATTTGAAGCTTGCGTTCGGCAAACACCCCCTCTCGCTTGGTGACCCCTAGCCCCAATTGGCCCCTGTATCGCCAAGATAGTATTCGTGGTTGTCATATTTTGTTGTTTGGGTATAGATCAAGGCATTACGTACCCCCAAGCAGCCCCCCACGAGTACACTTTTCCCGCGTTGGTGACGGCAACCGTGTGGGAGTTGCCTACTCCTACGGCCACGACCATGGCTTGGGCTAGCGCTTCCACCGGTCGAGGCTGGGGGTTCTACGATGCCGCCAACGTTCTTGTCATGATAGAGCTTTTTTGGAACTCGACCAACCTCATTGGTATTTGTGGCGTGCCCCGCGCCCAGCTCGCCGTAGTCGTTTTTCCCCCACGTGTAGCACCGACCGGTGGTGGTGATAGCCGCCACGTGGCCTTGGACCCGAGCGCATGCGAACATTTCGACACCTTCCACGCGCAAGTGGCGCACCACAGACGGATAGAGAAAGGTCGTGTCGCGGTGGGAAGGCAGAGGGGGAGGTGGGGGGTGCTGAAGGGGGATGACATTCACGTCGGGTTTGGCTTGTTTCGGTGTAAACGCGGTGGGACCGACGCCGTTTCCGCCCCAGGAATACACCTCGCCCGTCGATGCCAGGGCAAAAGCATAGTCTGCATCAAAACCCTGCGAAGATAAGGCCACAAGTCATAGATTGCCACGGACGAAATGATTGCGTGTTGAGTACCGTAAACACTCGAGTGACCTTTCGCCCTTTCAACCCCATGATCTCCGTGGGCACGGCGCAAGCGTCGCGATGGCCGAGGCCCAATTGCCCTGAAAAGTTGTTGCCAAAGCCAAACACCCCCCCGGACGCTACCCCCAGCATACGTATCGTATCCCACGTTAACCATGTTGACGGTTTTCAAGGGTAGTAGTACCTTCCACCTTTTCACGCGTTCGATTCTCCTTTTCAATGCGCCGACGATGGGCCAGAATCGCAGGTTCATTAACCCAGTCCTGCAATCTGGCCATCAGCGCTACCTTTTTGCCATCGAGGTCGACGCCCAACAAGTCGGCCACTGCTTGCAATTGCCGTGTGGACATCTTGGTGAAGTCAGCTGATGACCAAAACTCACGTGTCTTTGGATACGACGAGATGGCTTGACCCTACATGACAAAGTTACTCATGGATGCAAACGGGGACGTGATCGACGTGGTCATTACGTTGTACGTCGGAGGTGCTCGTCGTATCCAGTCGTCAACGCCGTCGACAGCCTGCTCATGCGATCGTTTGGGGGACGAGTGTGGTGACTTGCGCTGCTTGTGCTCTCCGTCCATGCGAATCTGCGATCGAATGGCATCTTGCAGCAACGCCATAACCTTTTCCGCTTTTTGGACCCGAATGCGCTCCAGTAGCGCGGCCATGCATGCTCAATGGAACCTGGCGGTTACATTTTCGAGACATACTTCCTCTGTTCCATATTAGTTGCGACATTTGACTTCCGGTCGCCCCCAAAAATTGAATTCTTGTCCAAATTCGATGCATGATATCACGTTCAAAAGAGAATCAAAATCTACAGGTATGCAATATTGACTGCAAAGCGCGGAAAGCAAATTTTGGCGCTCAATTTTCACTTCGCCATCGGGTCTCCGAATAAAAATTCAAAATACGATTTTCACAATTAAATTTTCCGGGACCTAAACACGTCAAGCACCATGGCGCGCCAACCCACCGGAAGAGAGCTCTCACACGCCAAGAAGATGGAGGTGATCCGTTGCTTGCATACCCTGTCGACCAAGGGCAAACTTGCCCGCGGGGCGATCCTCACCACGGCCTCCGAGCACAAAATCCACCGGACCACCGTATCGCGCATCTGGAAGGCCTTTCAACGAAACGAACTGCTACCATCGTTGAAAGCTGGCCGTGTAGGCCGCTCGCCGGTATACACGCCACACCTCGTCGCCAGCACCGTCCGCGAACTACCCCAGTCACTCCGCTCGACGATGCGCCACATTTCCGAGGCCACTGGAATTCCTCTTGGATCCTTGCACCGAGCGCTCAAGGCTGGAAAGCTCCATCGACGCACCACACGCTTAAAGCCTCTGCTGACGGACGAAAACAAGGCGAAGCGTCTTGAATTTTGCCTCTCGCACATTCGTCCCTCCGGTCCTCCCAAAACCCCGACATTCGATGGCATGTGGGATGTCGTTCACCTTGACGAAAAGTGGTTCAACGCAGACAAGAACGTCCGCAAGGTGTACCTGACGGAAGGTGAAGAGCCTGAGCAGCAGGCATGGTCAAGCAAGCGCTTCATCCCAAAAGTGACGTTCCTCGCGGCCGTGGCACGCCCTAGACATGACTTGGAGCGTGGCATCAACTTTGATGGGAAGATTGGCATCTGGCCGTTCGTGCAGTACCAACCTGCTCAGCGGAGCTCGCGCAACCGTCCGGCGGGAACTCTTGTGGCAACATTGGTGAACGTTGATGCACCGATGTACCGGGACTACGTGCTCACGTAGGTCATTCCAGCTATCAAGGCAACGTTCCCTACCATCAACAAGCGCGTAGTTCTCCAGCACGATAATGCAACGCCACATGGAGGCATCACCGACGCTGACCTAGTGCCGGTCTCGACGGATGGGTGGTCGTTTGTCGTTCGCTGCCAGCTACCAAACAGCCCAGATCTCAAGGTGTTGGTTCTGGGCTTCTTCGCGTCAATCCAATCTTTGCAGTACAAATTGGTTAGTCGCACTGTGGAAGATGTTATTCGTGCTACGCTCGCTGCGTTTGACCAGAGTGGCGGAGAGGCTCTGGACAAAGTGTTTCTTACCTTGCAAGCGGTGATGCGCCTTGTCTTGGAGAACAATGGTGGGAACCACTTTCGCCTGCCGCACTTGCGCAAGGATGCGCTGCG